TGGGTTTTAACAGTACTCAGTCGGTTTAAGTTCTCTTCGTGCTCAAATTGCTTCGTTTACTTAAATTGATTCAGTTCAAAGTACTCATTAGGATTTGTTTTTGAACTTAAATGGTTTGTTGCAATTTCCTCAAACGGTTTGAGTGACCTTGACTTTTTGGGTTTACAGTGATAGGGGGTCAATTTTAGTTCTTGTTACATTTCTAATTATATAAATAAAAGCAACATTAAAAATACATTACTATTATTAGTGCATTTACATCACGTTTCAAACCCGTAGCCAGGTCAGGTTTGGGTGGTTCGGTAGACCCCTCCTCGCTGACAAATGTCCAGAATTTGTCCTGTTTTAACTGCTATGCTATCCTGAATAGTAAAATAACTCATCAAAAAAAGCTTCAAGAGTTAATTAGTTGTGGAAAATGCAAGCAAAGTCATTCGCTACTGTTTTTATTCTTGAGAGAAAACATGACCAATAAAAAAAGTGAAACACCAAAAGCGGCCCCTATTCAAATGAATTTGAATACTACTTTGGCTACGGTTGTTATGCATTAATTTTCAAATGTGCTTTTTGTTTTTACAAGACAGGCTAGAAAAATTGCGACGCTCTAAATTATTACTATTGTTATTATTATTATGTTTAAATTTGTATTATTCAAATGGGCAAACTCTGACTGAGGAAAGTTGAATATGCTGGCCAGTTTGTTATTTGTCTAATAAATTGTCTAATAAAATTTTCCCTAATGATATATGATGGAATAAATTTGTATTTTGAAAATAAATATGGCATATTTCTTATTCTCAATATTTAGGAGATCTATTTGGCACATCAAAAAGTGTGGTGAGGATGACCATCCAACAAGCAAACGTTAATTCAGCTAAAAAAAATGCAGTGCTTTAAATGTCACTTAACTGTAAATTCAGTATTTAAATATAATAATTAAATAGAAAATGAGGCGAATAACTGCAAAAAATTCCAGAACCACTACCTCCATCACCAGGATGGCAAAAGGCCTGCGTTTAAACTCCATTATAACACGTAATCTTTAATAATTTACGTCAGTAACGTTATATCAAACTGACACCACATCTGCCGCCAGGACAGCACGCCTACCAACCTTGCCTTTTCGTCAGGCCTCCTTCAGCTATTAGCCTGAAAGACACACAAATAGCCAATCAGATCACCAGATCTCGCTGAGCTCCACCAATAAACACTCTACATAGGCGGAGCTACTATGTGTTTTCTGGTTGCCAATGAGAAGAGAAGATGTTTCACTGTGGAGTTGGAGACAGATGAGAAATCTCTGTCAGACGCTCCAAACGGGAATAACGACGCTCTTATTTGAATAAAGACAGTTTCTTAATCTAATGTGGACTATTTAGAGGAGGTAAGCAATGGATTGACGGTTTAATTCTGTTGTATTTATCGTGTTTATCATGCGAAGCCAACAAGAAGTGGTGCAAGAAAGACAGTTTCGCCATAACTGAACCAAGTCAATGCAATTTTATGCTTATATACAGTAACTGTTTATTTAAACATTGCTTTTATTATTTGAACATTTCACAAATGCAGTGTAAAGTGTAACGTTAATGCCCTACGTCTGGTTTGAGCCACCATTGGAGGCCTTTAAATATCTTTGTTTTGATATGTTTAAGCTGCTTGATAAAGACTTAAGACTGTCAAACTGAGATTTCTTTATGTGCAATTTTTATATTTAGCTCAGTTAAGCAATTATTTGTGTATTCAAAATATCAAAGGTTGTGTGATGGACAGTGTTGATGCTTTGAACGAGTTACCATAGAAACACACTTGTGCATGAGTTTACTTGTGCTGCTTAGGTACATTTCTTGCCGTATGTGTGTTGACATTTTGTACAGTATGTATATTTTTTGTACATTGTGATGATTAAATGGTCATCTAATATGGAAATACGAGGAAATTAGATATTCATTGTGATTTCCTGGACTGCAAAAGAGATTGAAACTGTTCAGCTCAAATATAATTTGCAACTTTATTTTATGTGACCTTGGTACATGTGCAACATGTAATTACTATAGTAATAACAATAAATTTATGCATTAATACATGCTACCTGGTACCTACCCTAAACATAACCCTCATCCCTATTCTAACCATAGTGTAAGTGCTTGTAGTAGTTTGTTAAATTGCTCAGTACTTAAATGTGTAGTTAAACTGTGACAATTAAGTGCTTATAAATGTAACTGATAACTAGGGCCAGACAGAATCTGCAGACATCTTTTGCTATTTCTGTGCAGAATATTGTAAAATAATCTGCAGATTTTTGCGGAATTATTTAGGGTGTATCATAACTAAATTTAATATGTTGAATAAAAATAATAAATTTGAACTTTTATTTAATGTTTACAATGCAAATCCTATCAGCTCCATTTATTTGGTAAACAAAGCAAGTTTCTCATATAATATATCTACCATATATCTACTAAAAGACAGAAGTTTTTACTTTACAAACTGTATTGTAAGTAAATCATATGAACATTTGCATGTTAGTCAATAATATTACTGAAATTATTTTAAAAAACTGAATAAATATAGATGTACACACATTTACAAACAACTAAATAAATAGACTCAGTGTTGGGCTGAAAATCTGCGTGTGGGCCTACTAATAACTAATACTAGTTATAATGCTGTGCCAAAGTACTTATTTGCTAACTGATAGAAATTAGGAATAGCATGGAAATAAATCCAGCATCACCTGTGGTTGCATTTACTGTTTGTTTATTTGTTCTTAACTGAACTGAATCTTTGACTTTTAGTTTAAGATGCATACAACCCGCAGTCCATCCGCATCCATCCAGGCAGGAGCAGCTGGAGACGCACTGGACCTCAGCTTGAACGGCTCTCAGCTCACAATGGGCCGCAGACCAAGCAGCGCTTCTCCTGGAAAACACTTCTCTCGATCCATATCTGTGTCCGTGGCATATGACGGCAGAGGGAAGCGAAACACATTGGTGAGTCTGTCGAAGCACATCAGAGCGACACAAACAAGAATGTCATGCTTTAGGCTTAGGAGGGGAATAATATTGTGTGTTTTCATTGTGTACACTTACATGGACACCATTAATCAGAGTTAACTGTGTAAACAGCCAATTACCTTAATCCGATTAGGATCAAACTAAACAGAAATGGAATTAAGACATGTGGAGTACATCGATTTTAGTCGCATTATTAAAGTGCAGTACAGACATGTAAACACTAATCAAACTATACCGTAGTGTAGGATTTTCACAGCATTTTGCGACAGGATAGTCTATAAACTCACAGCTGATTGACACCATTCTCTCCACTTACCAATTTAGTGAAGAACCACAGACACCTGCATTGTGAAATGAGGAATGTTTTTTCCCCCCATGCGGTGTGGTATCAAATTCCATTAAAACAACACTCTTCCAGCTGGTCAGACTCGCATCCAATATCTCGTTTGTCACAGGGGGCATGCATGAAATGTTCCTGAATGAAAGTGAAAGTGCCAAACTGCAGTAAAATTTGACAAATTAAAAATGAAACACTCGAAATTACATGAAATTTCAGAACAAAATTTGGATAGTGTGGTGACGCAATGACGGTAATCGAATGATGTACTGGAAAACGGGATCGTAAAAGGAACATTCAAAAACTCATGTAAACACCTTAATCATATTATTGTCTTATTCAGATTAAGGCAAATCATTTGATTACTAATATCCATGTAAATGTAGTCAATGTCTATTAAGACACTCATAGATTGGATAATATTGGTTTGTTCACGACCATTTTCAATTGCAGACTTGCATTTGTCTTTAACAGCTTTTTTGTTATTTATGTTGTTGTTTTCTCCATTTAAAGCCCTGTGTTTCCACTTGGTATTAAGATGTGTTTTTGTTGCTCTCAAACCTCGAGTGGACAATAATTGATACACATGAAAACAGGGTCTGAAACAATAACTACTTTTGACTATTTCCAGAGGTAGTTGGATTACTTTCATACTGTTAATATTTTGTTTTTTATATATGAGTTAAAGACAAGGCATCCTGTCTTTTGGACTGCTTCAAATAAATTTACAGTTTTATTTATTTATTATGCTTTTTTGTGGTACACAAATGGGGAATAGCTCAGTTGCTGTTGTCTCTATTGGACAGTACATGTTTTGTTTTACATTACATTCACATTTGCACATTTCTGGGTTTGAGTTTAAATAAAATGATACAATTAGATATACATATTAATTAATCAAGTAGAAATGTACTGTATGTTCTGAGCACATCCTTTCAATAAGTGTCTCGGTAAAATAAAATGTTTTATTTTACAACAAATTGCTTTACAATAAAATTAAATAATATAAAATAAAAATTAAATTATGTATTAAATTAAATAAAAAAATCAATAAAATAAGTTCTGACCACATTATCTTTAGTCTTAATGAAAGAATTTTTTTAATAAAAAAAAAATTATTCTAAACTTTCTTTTATTAATTGAATTATTTTATCAATGTTAATGCAGCTGAATTCATTACATAGGTCACATAAGAATTATTACATTTTAGGACGTGTTGTTAAAGCTGAAAATAGTTAGTTTTGTTTGAAGGCAAAAAAACAAACAATATTCACTCACCAGTCCTGATTCTATTATAAACCCACAGCGTTTGATTTAGTTTTGCAGCTATCAGAGCAGAAAAAAGCTTGAGTTATGTATAGTTTTTTTGTCTCCTTTCTGCAAGCTTTATAGCAATATTAGATCAAAATATCTAAAAAGGCCCATGGAAATCATGAAAGTCGGCAAAAGAGCCGGGATTAAAATACAAAGTGATATGTGAATGTGTCTCCCTTATCTACTGGTGATCTGATAAACTGAAATGCCTGTTAAGAACAAGTATAAGCAAGCCCTGTAGAGGCTTTTTACTGTAATAAATAATCCCAAATTTTGTCCACATTTATGAATTATCAGTTTACATTTTCACAACAAAAGATACAGAAATTAATGTAATGTCCCACATATTGTGCAGTCTGGTTTCTTTAGTCTTAATTGCACTTTTATTTAAGAGAAGCTCTTGGTGTTAGTCTTCGGCAGGTGCAGTTTTCTAACTGTTTTGCACTCTCTGTTGTTGGCAGACTGATGCTGGATTGGGAAGCTCACGGGCAATTAAGAACCTGCGTCGATCTAACAGCACCACACAGGTGAACCAGCAGGCCAACACAAGCCTCAGGTACGGAACCATCTGTCTTTCCTTTGCATGCCATTTGAAAGTTTACCTCTTCTGTCATTGATGCGGGTGCATCTCACAAATACTGTCAAGAAGACTTTAGTTTTTATTGCTCATTTTTGTTATTTATTTTAGGATGTTTTTTAGGTTTTTAGTAGGGCTGCACAATATACATTTGCAATCAGAATTATACACCCCCCTGAATTATTACCCCCTCTGTTTATTTTTTCCACAATTTCTGTTTAACGAAGAGAAGATTTGTTCAACACATTTCTAAACATAATAGTTTAAATAACTCATTTCCAATAACTAATTTATTTTATCTTTGCCAGCATGACAGTAAATATTATTTTACTAGATAAAATATTATTATATTTATATTATAATATTATATTTTCTAGATAATGATAGTCGGTTCTGTAGACTATTGATAAAAAAATTCTTAAAGGAGATAATAATTTTGACCCTAAAATGTTTTTTAAAAAATGTAAAAGCGGTTTTTAAAAAATCTAAAACTGCTTGCCAAAATAAGCCAATAGCCAAAATAAATCAAATAAGACTTTCCCCAGAAGAAAAAAATATTAACAGACGTACTGTGAAAAATTCCTTGCTCTGTTAAACATCATTTGGGAAATATTTAAAAAAGAAAAAAATTCAGAGGGGGTTAATAATTCTGATTGCAACTCTATATCATTTTTAGCATCAACATTGCAATATGATCATTCGCAGTAGTCACATTGCAGGATATGCAATGTTGAGTTTGTATTATAATTCATCATTTGCATCTGTTTTTGATGCCTGTGAAATAAGAAATTGTACCATTTGTGACCTTAACTTTTGAATTATTTATTGAATTATTTTTATTTTTATCATTCAGTTACTGTACTTGAATGCTGTTAGACTCGGGAAATGATAAAATTTCAGTTGTATCTTTTTCTTGATTATATTTATAGATTGTTATGCATAAAAATACTCACAACACATGCAAATACAGAAATGCACAGCAAATAGCACAGACAACAACGAAAATGTGTAGGGGGACCCCAAAAATGTTATAGATTGTTAATTTGATTTTATGGCGCTGCTGTCCCACTGCAGAATCATCCCAATTGATCTTACATTATAAATTCTGTTCAAATAGAGATGTTAAGTCATATGGTGAAATTGTATTTATATTGCAATATATATTGCAAAATAATAAATAAATAAAAAAAACGCAATTTTAAATTTTCCCAATATTGTGCAGCCCTAATTTTTAGTTTTTTTTAACATTGATTTGCCTCTATTAGTTTTTGGAAAGTTTGTAGTTATTAATTGTTTCAATTTAAGAATTTTTAGTTATTGCATATTTTATATTTTCATAAAAGTTTTGATTTCAGTTGACATTAAGTTTTAGTTTTATTTCATTATTTTAGTTTCTGGTTCTATCATTACATTGGAGTTTTTGTTGATTCATTTTAGATAACAAAAAACATTATTCTTTAATATTTTTTTAACTTTGAAGAGAATTTATTGTAAAAATAAAAACTTTATAAAACAAAGTTACTTCTAAATGGTCCTAAAATCCATCTTTATTTGAAATATCGTTTATTTCTTTTCCATTTTCAATGAAATACGAATATGTTGTTGTGAGATTCACCCATCAACATAAGCCAGCTGTCCTATTCAGACCTTGATAATGGACTATCCTCAAGGGACAAGAGTGAATGGTTTTCTGACAACTTCTTCAACATGTATGATTTTTAGAAAGCAACGATGGCATGTTTGTGCACGTACATGTCTATAGCACACATGCCTGCATGCACTCACTTCACCCAAGCTGTGGTATGCCTGGTTCATCACCTCTCAGACGTAGAGGTTGGGGGTTTACACCCTTAAAGCAGCAACAGCTGGGGGTTGAGTGATTTTTGCTTTTCCCTACACAATAGCTATTGTGGCCTGGCGGCTGCAGCACAAGACAAGCAAGAGGGGGCTGGGTTCAGCTTTGTCAAGAGAGGACCCGGGGTCTCAGGTTTCGCTCGAATGAGGACGCAGTGAAAGGAGAAGTGTGCGTGCTGAAATTCTTTTGTCCGGCAGCTGCCAGTCCTGCCCTCCCCTCCCACTGCATCCTGGGATGCCACAGAGGGTTTTAAATGAAGGAAGTTCTAATACCATCCCCCTTCCTTCGGGTACTTAATAACTGTCATTCTGTGACCTCTGAATTGCTTTAAAAGAGGAAACTTGGAGGAATGTAGTTTTCTGAATTGCTTTTCATTGGACCAGCTGACGCTAGGCACCCCCTTACACCCCCAAAACTCTCCCATATACAAACTGAAGCACAGATGCTGGTGGGTCAGACATAGCAGTGAACATCAAGTTAAATGTTGATGCAATTTAAATGCAGACGGATGCGATTGCCATATGCCTATGGACATCTGCCCCTTTAATACCAGCTTCTGCTGTAACATTCCTCTGCTGCGTCTCTGCCCAGAGCAGCTGTTGGCACTTCTGAAAATGGAAGTTTTTTTTTTATATGTCTGTCTGATATGTTTAGCATAAATAGTCTGGTTGCTAAAGAAGAGATGTATGGGCTAGGCTTTTGAACAAGCCAATGCAACAAGTCTGCATTAAATTAATCAACAGTCACTGTTTATAAAGATACAAAATGAATACATTTAAAATAAACACTCACCTTTCTATTTATCAGAAGCAGTGTTGCCAACTTGCAATGCTCCTACTCCATCCACTTAGCAGTGACCAGTGTATATTGCAAACCACGTGACCCTACTCGCAAGAGGAGGTGAGGGAAAGTTGTATCAAAATCTGAATCCCCGGACAAATCGGTCTCCTTTTCCTGTACAGGCACATCACGCAGCGCCTGCAGTTAAACTGACAGCGGTTTATCATGACACTTATTTATAATTTATTCTGTAATTAACAGCTCAAACAAACATAGAAGCATTGGCAAGCAGCACCTAATTATCCTTAAAAGAATTTAAAAATCCAAACAGGGCGACTTTATACCCCATTTCAGAAGTAAAACATACTCTAATAGGTAGTGTAATTTACACAAGTGCAGTGTGTGGGTGAGAGGGGGCAGTGTTTCGATGTGATCTGGTTATGTCGTCAGATTGCACTATTATGTTTTTCTCTTCTTTTTCATTCTTTTATATCACATTTTACCTGTTTTTATGTTTTTTTTTAAATAATTTTTATTATTTGTGTTTATTTTTCTTATACCCATTTCTTTTATTCTTGTTTATGTAAAGCACTTTGAATTGCCACTGTGTATGTAATGTGCTCTATAAATAAACTTGCCTTGCCTTGCCTTGTGGTTCTGTGACCACTGGTGTTGGTTGCTGTATGGTTTAAAAATATATATCAGTTAAAGTAACTAGGTTAACTTCAATTTAAATACATTACAATAAAAAAAAAAATGAATCTAATATTTTGGGTGTTTTTTGTGTGTTTAGGTGGGTTTTGGACAACTTTTGGGCTGGAAAAAGTCAGCTATATCTGGCAACACTTATTATAAGATTCTGAATTATTTTTTTAATTTGTACAAAAATTATGATGCTGTATGTTGTTTGAGGACCAAATAATCTTAGATGATTTCTGGAGAATCATGGGACACTGAAAACTAGAGAAATAATGGGTGCTAAAAGATAGTATTTTAACTTAGTTTTGTTTTTTAAACTAATAGATGACTACAAAATTAAATCTTCACTCAAAAATCCCATAAACATGCTGTGTTATGCTTGCCTGGCCATTAGTTGGTGGTTGCACATATGATCTTATAGTCTGCCATTGTGTTTGGTTTTCAAAGTACTTGCTAGAGCTGCTCTGATTGTTCAGCCGAAGATCGGTATCGACTGATAAGCACATTTAATAACTCGATCTGTACATGTCAATCTGGCTGATCTCATGAACCAATCGCAGATGTTTGTTTATTAGCTTACAAGCAGAGGAAGATGCACATATGCTCCCATATATTTATACATAACCTACAGCAGCCACAACACGCTAAATTATGAATGAATTATGCGTGAAGGTTTAAGCAATCGATGCAATCTCTAAATTTTGCATATTTTTTGATCATACAGTTGTGTAATTATAGTTGTATGCTAAAGTTAGAAATTTTGTAATGCTGTGCAGTTTATGAAATCGATAAAATCCTGCTATATTTGAAGTCACGCTGCTTTGATTACTGCAGCACCATTATTTCTGCTGTTCCATAGGCGACACCTTCTGGATTAACATTTTTATAAAGTATATGAATAATGTTTTAGTTTAGGATTAGTTTCCTACAATCAGTATTTAGTGAATATATTTAAAATGTCACCAATGTTACCGGTTCATATGTAAAGTGGCGATGATAAGGTTTTAAAATGTATGGAAAGAGTCTTAAAAAGGTCTTAAAAGGTATTGAATTCTGATTCCTGTATGTACTCTGATACAGATGCCGTGCAACCTGTTTTTACAGTGTATTGGCACGACCCACATGAGTGATGGTCTCTTTGTTGCAAATGCAGCCATAGTATTTACCGTATTTTTGAGCAAGTATAATTTATCTTATCAATTTTTATATCTGTTATATTATTTTCTGTAAAGCTGCTTCTGACCATGATATGTTCATACCTAATGTAAATAGTTAAAAGAGTCGCAAAAAGGGATTTTATGAAACATACTTAATTTTTCTTTGAAAAATGAGAGATGTCCACTTAAGTATCATCCTTAGAGGGAAAATCTGCTTAGCTTGAAGCATTAGAATCGGTACTCGGTATCGGCCGAACACCATGACAAAGAATCAGTACTGCAAGAATTCTTATTGGAGTACTTGCACATGCCCACTATAGACTGAAAACGTAAAAAAAGAGGAACTTTCAAATTGGTAGTGTAGGTATTATTGGCCTTGTGTTGTGTTTATATGTTCCTCATTGTGTGTGTTTTGTGTGCAATACTCTGACCTTTCTGTCTTTCCTTCCTTCCCGTCTTTCTCTCTGTGTGTCTGATAGCAGTGAAGGCCACACAGAAGACTTCCTGGCTCTCTTCAACAGCAGCTCTGATGGACGGCGAAAACTTGCCAGCCTCTCCAAGATGTCCAAAGATCGAACCACCTGGAATATTCTGGTACTTCCCAACTTTCAAAAGTCTAATTCCTGCCAGATTTCAGTCAGTGTGGGCATCAGATTGTATAATACCTATAAATTATATGTATGGCTGCAGTAACTGGCTGACAGGGAAATTGGCCAATTGGATTGTTTTGCCATAAAAAAAATAATTGAACATAACTTAACTTGAGGGTTAACAGAAAAATGAAAATTTTCTTATTATTTACACAACATCCACTTTGAGTTTCTTTTTTCTGTTCTACACAGAAGAAGATATTTTAAAGAATGTTGAAAACTAGTAGCCATTGACTTGCTATGAATGTCAGTGGCTTCAGATTTCCAACATTCTTCAAAATTGTTTATAGCTGAAAGAAAATCAAGGTTTTGAACCCCTTCTGGTGAGCATATGATGAATATTTTTCATTTTCAGGGTATCTATTTCTTTTAAAACTTGCTAACTATTTATGTAGCATTGCTTTAAACTGTTTTCTTGCCTTCAGGATGACCAGCCGAGAGTGTTCCCTGTGCCCAGCAGTTCTCACAGTACCTGCAGTATGGATTCTCCTACAGGCCTAAAGAAGAGGGAAGCTGGAGTCTCTTTGGCAGCCAATTTCACTGCCAACAACAGGTGTGAATTCATTTTGTCCTGCCGCTCAGATTCTGTGGATAGCTTTCAAGCATTCCTGTTGCCTGTGTCACTGACAACAGATTCACTTAATAGGCCATATTTCTTCTTGTCAGTAAAAGCATGAGCATACCCTGGGGAAAAGAGTAGAAGGATTCCATTTGATTTTCATGGCGTTTAAATCTGCAGCACCAGTCAAACGTTCAGGCACACTCGACTGAATTTATCTTAACTTAAACCTCATGTTTGCATTCCTAAAATTGTTCCTAAATTTGCAGTTTGGGCTGGTCAGTTAGGCCAACCAAATTACTTTCTATAAGTATGGTTTAAATGGATCAAAGGTGAAAGTAATGACATTTAGTTAAACTTTATTTACTGGTCTTGTTACAGTTATTGTACATCCTCTACTGGGTTTTTTAATTAACATTTACTCTCACTATTGTTACACTTAGGGTTTGATTTTGGGTTATTGCCCATAAATATATTAGAAAATTTACTGTTTTGATTGTTATAATGTGTACTAGTGTGTCTGTCTGTCAGTCTGTCTCCTTTTCTATATACAAGTATTATAGTTTATAATATATAAATTATATTATAATATTAAAAGTATAAGTTTCTCAAGAACCAGTTCAGCATCTTTTAAATTGAAGTGATGGTGTAACGGATCACAAATCTCACGGTTTGGATCACATTATGGTTTTTTAGACAGATCGGACCATTTTTGGATCAACCAGAAGGGGGAGGAGACAAATGTCATTTGCTTTCCATTTATTACAAAAAACACTACTGCAAGAAACTTTTGGTTTTAACAAACATAACTTAAAACCTGAAACTTTATTGAAAATAAAATGAAATAATCAAAATATCAAAATAAATTTCAAAATATTCAGTACTGTAAAAAATTCACTGTTACTACTACTGTTGCTGATAATGCTTAATGTTGAACTCTAACATTATAATTTCTACAACCCATATTTATTTTTTGTCTAATTTTCAATAAATGATTCAGTTTTTCACTCATTAAAACCTTTATTGCTAGATGTTTTTTTTTAAGAATTATTCAGTGGCATATTTTTGTTGGCTGATTGTCGCCACCTTTTGGCTAAATAATGTAATTGCTGCCTGCAACTTTCATTTTTGAGCGTCGTAACATGCATATGATGTTGATTTTAATCTTTGCCATAAACATCAGTAGTTATATCTAAACTATAAACTTTTATTCCAATACTTCTGTGTTATTTGACTGTTTGAAACTTCATAACTAACTCGAAGACTAAAGACTCAATCTCTTTCTTGATTTTCGCGTTTACAGATTTGAAAGCACTGATTCAAAGGATTAATAAACCTATGCAAATCACCTTCATTTAGAATTTGTTGCGTGGGTGTTGAGATCCTGATTATTTAATGATTAATCGTGCAGCTTACACTGAATGCATTAATGCAGGCCAAACAAGTAGTGACAGAAGCCTGTATGCTTTCATACATTTTGATTTGAATGACGCGAGAGGCCATCTCTCTGTGATTGTTACAAATTCAGGATTAATCTGCCAGTAAAAAAAATTATTAATCTGCGGGCCATGTGTGTTCCGAACCGTGGGTTGGGATTCCGAGTCACTGATCAACCGTAATCCGTTACACCGCTAATAAAAGGTCATGTGACATTTTAGGCTGGAGTAAGGGCTGCTAAAAAATCAGCTTTGCTCAAGCAAAAGTAAATATAATTTTAATATCTATAAAACTGTAATTATAAATATGTTATAGCAATATAAAATATACACATATTATACACATACGGTATATGTATTTATAAATATAATACTACTTATTTATATATTTACAATATTATGTAGTAAAGTGTATCTGAGTATATAAAGTACACTGTCTGTGAATTGTATTTTTAGGAGTAATAAAGCAGCTGTGGGCAACGCAGTGACCACCATCCTTCATAACAACCACTCAGAGAAACCCCTCACTCCCAAGAGCTCCAATCAGAAACCCTCCTTTAAGTAGGTTCATCATGACTGGTGAATGATTACTAACTTATTCTTAGACATAAGCCATTCAGTGATGCTCAATTATAGTGCACATGGCTTTTTCCAGGCTACACATTTACAGTAGTTGCCCTCTCTCTGTTTTAGTAACCTAATCAAAGCCACTGTAAATGACGATGTGACGCTGGATGTGAGTGGTTCTCTCACTAAGTCTCAGAAGAACTTCTCCTCTGCGTCATCAAGCTCCAACAACAATGCTCCTCGCAGCCCTCGAAGCCCAGGTCAACCCCGCAGACGAGAGGTCACCGAGGAGGAGGCCGAAAGGTCAGCTGTGCTGTCCAGAGTACTGTTGTTTACATCTGAATGGACAATTTAGGCCGGTTATACTCTAATTTGTACATGATTTAACAAATTTACAAACTTTTTTACAGGTATATTCAGCAAGTGAACCATGCTGCTATTATCATCCAGCGTTGGTATCGTCGACATGTCAACAGTAAGAGAGCCAATGAGAATACAATCAAACAGCTCCTTGCATCCAAAAAGAAGGTAATTTATGTTTAATTTGCATCAAATTAATATTTATTTTCAACATATCAATAGAGGTGACACAGTGGCTCAGTGGTTAGCACTGTCGCCTCACAGCAAGAAAGTCACTGGTTTGAGTTCTGGCTGGGTCAGTTGGCATTTCTGGCTGGAGTTTGCATGTTCTCCCCCTGTTCACATGGGTTTCCTCCAGGTGCACCGATTTCCCCCACAGTCCAAAGACATGCGCTATAGGTGAACTGAATAAACTAAATTGGCCAGAGTGTGTGTGAGTGTAAATGAGTGTGTATGGATGTTTCTCAGTACTGGGTTGCAGCTGGAAGGGCATCTGCTTTGTAAAACTTATGCTGGATAAGTTGGCGGTTATTTCCGCTGTGGCGACCCCTGATGAATAAAGGGACTAAGCTGAAAGAAAATGAATATTATCAATGTAGAAAATGTTTTTTGCTTCTACATGATGTAGTTGGTGTGAATTTTGTTCTTCTGAATAGTTAAGCTTTATATATTGATTATGGGTGTTGTGTTTTTTTTTCTCTAGGAGAGGGAGCAGAGAGCAGAAGAGGCAAAAACCACAGAGTCACTGAAAAAGAAAGAAGATGATCGAAAACGGATCAGAGAAGAGAAAGCTCGTCTGGCTCGACTCACTGCCATCCAGGTATGTTATGGTTGGTTTAGCAAGGAACATCGGAAACATCTGAAATTTCTATTTAAATTAAACGCAATTGTTTTAATATTCTATTGGTCAAATGAGACATTGATAATAAAGAAATGTTTCTTGATCAGTAAATTGGTATAGTAGAAACAAGGATCATATGTCTGGAGTAGTGGCTCAGTGGTCACCTTACAGCAAGAAGATTGTTGGTTCGAATCCTTTTTTTTTTACTTTATTGTTTTTAGACATTCAAATACAACGACTTACAAAATTAATCCAACCAGCATATACACAATTGACAATAAAACATGCAATATACAAATAATACATACAGAAGTATAGTGATCATAGACTGATACAATAATAAAAAAGAAAGAAAATAAAAATAAAAATAAATACCAAAAGGAAGCAAATAATAAGGAAATAAAATAAAAAATAAAAACAAAATACTGACCTTCCATTTTAATCTAAATTAGTCTAATCTTCAATTGAACTTATTCCACAATAATTAATGGGGTGTAAATCCAGTTAGTAACAAATTATAAATATTTGGGTGTGACGTTGGAAAAATAAACTGGAGAGGGATGTATGGACTGATTGTGTAGGGAAAGCTTCAACAGAGAATGTACTTCTTTAAGAAACTTTTGTCTTTTAATGTTGACAACACATTGTTGATCATGTTTTATAATGCTTTTATTTAAACTATTGCAACATTTTGTGTAATCTGTTGATATGGAAATGCTTCTGAGACCCAGAAGAGGTCACTGGGGAAGGTGGTAACAACAACCAGTAGTTTGTTGGGAATAAAACTAAAGAGCATTGACAGTAAATAGGAAGAAAGGGTACCAAATAAGGCTATCATGATAGTCAATGATGAAAGGCATCGCTTATCAAACACCTTCCAATTGTTACCATCAGGTCGTCAAAATTGTGTTCCTAGGTGTGTAAGAAATGGGATAAAATTATTATTTATACCCCAAGCAGTTTGCTTTTTAAATTCCTCCTCACTCAGTTGATGGCTAGATATAGACCAGCTGTAGACTAGATATTTATTTAGAGTAGGGATACAGTGTTTTTAAATGATTTATTTATATATCTGCCAAATGTAAAATGTCAGAAGTCTCTGAATGTATGCTGCAAATGAAATTTCTCTACAGGGACAAACTGACTAACAAACAAACTAACTAACTAACTAACTAACTAACTAACTAACTAACTAACTAACTAACTAACTAACTAACTAACTAACTAACTAACTAACACACTAACTAACACACTAACTAACACACTAACTAACACACTAACTAACTAACTAACTAACTAACTAACTAACTAACACACTAACTAACTAACTATTTCTTGCAGATTTTTAAAAATAATCCATGAAAGGTTGCCTTATTTTATACAATTTGTCTTCTTCTTTTTTAGGGAGAATCTGATTTTCTCTACTTTCAAATGTTTCATTATGATGACTGGAGTAAAAGTTGAAAATTCGACTTTTCCATCGCAGGAATAAATTACATTCTGAAGTGCTTGTAACTAGAAAACAGATATTTCAAATTGCACTATTAAAGTTGCACATTCGTATTACTTTTAAAGGTTGTTTTTGATTAAATACATATCATTTTACCAGAGCAATAAACACATTTTTAATCCCACTAACCCCCGGTAATAAAACAGTGGTGTACTTTGCTTTACTTTCATAGTTAGCGTCTTCTAATGACTACATCATTTTTTGCATTTAAAACAGGAGTTGCAGCAGAAAAGAGCTCAACGAGCAGCAGAGGTACAGCAAATCGCAGAGCAGGAAACAGAGGCACTCCGGCATGCTGGGAAAGTAGGACGTAAAAAACTCACCAAAAGTTCACCCACTTCTCCTACAGATATCAAGGCTAAAAATACAGGTGTGCACTACTCTAGATCTCTGATCAAACATTATTTCATGCAGTTAATTCTCTGTTTTGTTTTTGTCAGTATTTTAAGTAGTCACATGGTTTGTTCTTTAGATTCTAATGTCAATGTGGTGTCTGATCTGGATGATGTGACGAATCTGAGGGCTGCTTCGCCTGCTGGTTCTGCATGCAGAGTATCTCAGTGCTCTCAGGTAAACTTTCACAACCAAAAATCTGAAAAGAAAAAAAAAAAATCTTTTGCTTACCATATCACTTCATTCCTTCAGGAGATTCTCCAGAGGTCTGTAAGCATGGAAGATCAGCGACAGGGGGCGTCATCGAGCAGAGCGCAGTCAAAAACCACTCTCAATGATTTGCTGGACACTCTGAAGCTCTTAGAAGAGGAGCCAGAGAGACTGTCAGAGCCTAAGAGCTACAGGAAGGACAAATATTCCTGGATTGATGAGGTAAGTCATCATATCTTTGCAAGTGCAATTCTGTATTCACATTCATCTTTCAAAACACTCATTCTGTATTCACTTTTCACTGTTGTTCAAAAGTTTGAGGTTGCTAGGGTTTCATTTTAATGTTTATGAAAGAAGTTTCTTAAAGTCCTTCTGAAATCAAAGTTTTTAAAGTCAAAAAAAAAAAAAAAAAATCAGGTTGCAAGTACAAAATGGGGGCACTGTGACCTCATAGCAAGAAGGTTGCTGGTTTGAGTTCCTGCTGGGCCAGTTGGCATTTCTGTGTAGCGTAGGGATGCACCGATACCACTTTTTTTACAAACCGATACGAGTACGAGTATTTTATTTTGTGTACGTTGATACCGACTACCAATACTTCATAGATTTGGTTTTAACTAGGTTTATTTGTTTGTTTTTATTATAATTTTTCTGCCCGTAGCAAGTATGAGCACACAAATCTTTAACAAAAGGCTGTTCCAAGCCAAAAATATACACAAATTGTTGATAACCCTGCTAATCCAGATTTTATCTATTAACGATTAAACATGGATATTTAAATGAGTTGTCCTTGCGCTGATATGCGTCCACGACTTCACACATTACACAAAGTGTGTGCAGTGTACGTTACCTTATGGTGTCACTCTCTTGACACTGCATATTGGGGACGCATAAAACCCTGTTATGAGCGATTCTTTCATATTCAGCAGTCCTGCCGTAATTCCGCCGGTCAGGTAATCCAAAAGTCGGCTACTTGAAGTTTAACTATGGGTGGGTTGCGGGCAGATAAGATCAATAGTCATAAATAGCATACGCAATGCATACTCTCATATTAAAAATCACGCGACCATCATCTCACATTGTTTATTAATAAATAATCTTATTTTTTATTAAAACAAAAAAGGGATTTAGCAATGCCACGTCACTGACAAGCCAACTGCAAAGAAGCTAAGCAACCATCGCGGCAACCGCAGTGGTCACTTTTTCCGAAGTTCAGCTGTTCTTTTTTGCACATGATTATAATGCGATTAATGTTATAAAATCAACAATGAATAGCCCTACAAGAGTGTATCCTGTGTGTGTGTTTGTGTGTCTTTTATCAATAAAGCCGATCTCTTCCAAAACCTTCTGTCTGCCAATATTTTGGCTTTTAATCGAATGAAAAGTTAATTTAGATGAGCCAATTATTTAAAAAATGCAGTAAAGTAACTGTGCCGTGTGGCCACACATCGAATCTGAGGTCTGATCTCATCTCTTTCTCGTTGTCATCCAGATATCGATTCATTGCATTTTTCGCTTGATAAAAAATATCCGGAAACAAAAAAATTTAAGGGTGGCAAGTTTGTATTAATGTTTTAATATTAATAAAAACATGCTTGCCTTATTTAAGCTTAACGGCTATATACGCTGCCAATAAGCAAGCTATTCGAAAAATATTATTTTACTGTGTACTGGGTTATAATGTGTATTTTACAATAAAAACTAAATGTAGCATGTCTTGCTGTCATTTAAAACACGCAATTCATAACAAACCAGAGCTGTAGGCCTATAGTATATGCAGTGTGTAAACTTACTGGGAGGTGTAGGTCGATAGTCATACTGCGTATCACATTATTGAACTCCAATATCCCTGATGGAGATTATGTTACCCGATAGCCAATATTAACGTGAGAGATTTTAAAAATAAAAGGCATTTAAAAAAAGGAACAACATGCAAATCGGCAACAAATAAAACTGGTCCCTTGGAGTTCAGTACTTGTCATCTTGCCAGTGTATGCTGTGTAGTGTGTGTATAGCGCTGTGTAGTCGAAAAGAAAAAAAATAAATGAATGAATGTTCTTACGTTTTAAAAACAAATCTAAATATTACAATTTTGTGAAAAGGGTCTTTTAAAATGAACTCTTGTTTTTCCAGGATGGAGATTCTAACTCTCTGACGACAGATAATGTGGAGCGGCACAGACAGCTGAGTCAAACTCCAGCTCTTCCAGATGGGGGCGCTTTGCTCTCAGAAGCCAAACTGCAAAGCATTATGAGTTTTCTAGATGAGATGGAGAAATCGGAGCAGGAGAGACCACGCTCAGTCACCTCTGGATCACATAGAGAGGTAAACACATTTAAGACGAGCAGATGAGTTTGATGTTTCAATTTGTGTAAGCAGTGCACAGTTCATTTTATGCCTATGCATATGTAGGTGGTGCTGTCAGAGGAAGATCTAGCAGTTGTTGAACAAGCCTCAGCCACAGCTGCTGAGGTCACCGGCTCTATGATGAGACTCAGACTGGAGCTGGATGAGAAAAAACGCACCGTCAATATGCTACAGACTGCACTGGTAAAACAAACATACATAGTCAATATTAAGGTTGGACGATTAATCGATAAGAAGAAAAAAAACAGTTATATTGTAATATTTAATTATTGGTTTTTTTTTCATAATTCATTATTTAGTTTTTTTTTTATCTTGTTAATACTTTTCCTTTAAAAACATAGTGCATGTGAACCAACTGAGCGCTTTAGATTTTTACTAACAGCGCAGTGAGCACATTGTTCATATTCGCAACTATCTGGCCTGCCATAAACCCAGGCTTTCTCTCACCTATGCAAAAGAAAATAATATGTGAGTCTGTCATACATCAGATAACTGATTTGCTGCATGTAAGTCTTATTCTTTGCTGTCAGTTTATTTGGTATTGGGCTGGAACGACAGTTCAAAAGCCAAAGTCAATGTTGTGTGCCTGGCTTTATATTTTATCAACAAAGAGAAATCGACACAAATTTATACTTTCACCGCCTTTCAAGTGACTCAAAGGTCCGTTCTGGATGAATAGTGAAAATAAAAAGGGATATTGGACCTCATTTTCAGATAAGTAAAGGAAAATGGCACTAGTTTCTTTCACAAACACACATTTCTGATGCCATTCATCAAACTCAAGTTAATAAACTGATTCTTTCACTATATTAGACCTGTCAAGATACTGAATTTCGGTACTGAAATAAAAAAAAAAGTCTATTTTCTATTAACATTTAAGGCACTGTTGATGGCATTGTTAAACAGTGCTGATTTGCCATGTTGTTAACGTGCTCAACAGAAATGACTGAAATTAGCCGTGAAGGTCATCAGTTCACCACACTTCACCGATGTTTACCGAGCACAAACTCAGACGAGCGATCCTCTGATGAATCGATTGATCTTCATGGCTTTAAACGCTCCAATGTCCTTGTATCTGTGTTTGGACTCGGTGAAGAGCCGTGAGCTGATGACCTTCACGGCCAATCACAGTCATTTCTGTTGAGAACTGGTGAATACAATGGCTAATCAGTAGCGATTATGAGCGCGCTCAGCGGGTCTTAAATGTTAGCAGGAAATGGACGTTTTTAAAACTTCAGTACCGGAGCAACACTATTACAGACAACACAAGGGTGTGCTACAGTGGACTGCAGTGTTTTATCGCTCACCGAGTTACATAGACTGAAGCAGGGAAGCGTCGTCACAGTGTTTACCTGCTGCCATAAACTGAAGCCTAGGAGGACACTTAAGCGTATTACTCTGAAAGACATTGTAATGTTGTTTGATGCCTAATATGCTTTTAATTGTTTATATTAAACTGAACTGAATGATATTAAAGTGATGTTTACACCATATCTGCATTTTGAAGTCGTGGCAACAGCTGGGGGTTTGTAGTACACAGCATGTTGCTCCAATGTTTACAATGCTGATCCTATACTTCCGGGTTTCTTCTCACCGCAGCCTTGCTTTTGTGTTTTAAAATGCCGGCCACGTGAAATAAGCGTATAGAGGTGTCTTTTCTTAAAGAGAAGTACACAAACATTTTTAAACATTAACATACATATCTGTTTTTTTTTATTTTTAAAATATAAGAAGGATTTAGGCTGTACTGTGTGTATGTAGGTTTTTTCAGTGAAAATAAAAATAAAGAGTAAAAACACAATTGAACAACTATATATATTAGTTATAAGTTCTTTCTTAACTTCAAGCAATGTGTTCTTTGATTTCAGTTTGAAGTATTTATCAAATAATCATAAATAGTTGGTTTCCTTCAATTATTTTAGTATGAGTATGATTAGAAATGAGCATACTTATGTATTAATGTTCTCAGTCTAATGTTTTTATTTGTAAAGGGTTCATATTTACTGTACAAACTTCCAATGAACTATGAGAAAGGGAAAATTTTTATAAAAATTCAATTGAAAATAAAATAATTGTTCAAAAATTATTTCGAGGTAGTGTTCAATTTATCAAGGTTTTGCTTTTGGGTCATATTGCCCAGCCCTAGTTTATACCTTCAACCTCATTCGATGTTTAGATGTGGAAAACTAACTGTCAGAGACTAATGTAAAGGTAAATGTGTGTCTTTAGGCCCAGCAGAGGGAGCTGACGATCCGACACGTGAAGGAGACAGAGAAAGAGCTTAATCATACTTTTCAGCTACAGAAAGAGCAGTATGAAGCGACAATACAGAGACACCTGACATTTATAGACCAGGTATTAATCTCAACACATCACACCTGCATAGAGACACCAGACATTTAAAGACTGGGTATTAATCTTGATACAGCATCTATTCAGTTTGACAAAGCTTTGTCTGAAATATGTCTTGACATTAAGTTTAATGACTAAACTATAGTCAAATATCGATGAGGATTAAAACAAATGTATTTGGTCGCATTACAGTAAAAATAATCTGATCGCAAGACATTAATTGAACATAATGCCTTTATGTGAAAAAATAAATACAAAAGGAAAGAAAGACATTAGTATTGTAATTTGATGAACATATCAAAAACAGTTACATTACACCAGCCTTTCTCAATGCTGGTTCCTTAACACTCCTTTCTTGGAGCTCTTTTCTAATTAGCTGGTTATCTAAATCAGAAGTCGACATGTGCTCTACATACAGTAGTGTTCACTGCTTTCCATCTCTCTAAAAAATATTAATAATTTGTGCTTCACAACTTGTTTGCTGCATTTCCAAATATGACAGTAGTGTGAAGGTACGTTGAACATGTTTTCAACTGGAATCATTGCTGAATATCCTGTGATGTCCACTTGGTAGGGCACTTAGAGTCAAATGGAACAAACTTGTATAGCAATCTAAGAGAAACGTACAAAATATGCATATCAGGGGGCCTTGAGGAACAGGATTGAGAAACGCTGTATTACACAAGTTTACTGTATTTTTGATTAGGTAAAAGCGTTGTGATATAATAGTTCTATAGGGTTATAAGGGGCAGCCGTGGCCTAATGGTTAGAGAGTTGGACTTGGGATTTACGGTCACTGGTTTTAGTTCCAGCACCAGCAGGAATTATTTTTAGATTTTTAAATATCTACTTTAATTCCACTGAGCAAGGCACCGAACCCCAAACTCCTCTCTAGGCAACCCACTGCTCCGGGTGTTTGTTAATGGGTGTAAATTGTATAAAAGTGTCTGCTAAATGTAATGTAAATGTGATGCTTTTATTAATGTCTTGCTCTGTCTTTCAGCTGATTGATGATAAAAAGGCCCTGAGTGAACGCTGTGAAGAAGTAGTGGGAGAACTCAAGCAGGTCGATCAGAAATACACGAAGAAGATCGCCCAGATGCAGGAGCAACACGAGCTGGTGAGTTTGAATCCATGTTTTATATATTAGCGCTGTAAATCTATCATACAGAGCAGGTGAGCAGAGTTTTGCATCAACTTTATATCGCCACAAGGGGGCGATCAAGCTTTAAATGCGTGCTGATTACTAAATGGCTTGCTTTCACTGTGCTTTTGTGGCTCTTTCTTCTGCTGTCATTAACTCTGCACATGATCTTTAGTATTTATGTTATTAACTTTTGTGCACCTTCTAGAGCATGTTCGCTCGCTGTGTTGCTTTTGCCACTGCTAACTGTGTTTCTCTTTCTGCGTTTGTTGTGCGTTTCTCTCTTTTTCTGTCCTTCTGTCTGTCTGTAGGTGTGGCAAATTCTGGGTCCCATGTGTGAGGTAAATCTTGTTTTTCTATCTAACCCCTCAACCCCTCACATTTTTTGTCTTGTCATTTCCATTCTTTTGTTTCTCTCTGATGCAACACAGACTTGCAGACAGTCTTGCTTGGAGCATTGACTTTGCATGCTTTTTACCCTGAATGAAGCAGAATGTTCTTTTAAGTCAGCTTTTAGATTTAGTTTTAAGAATTAAAGCATTAAGCATTAGAGAAATGCTAAATCTTGTGCATGTGTCATGTTTTCATTAAAAATAAACTAACTGCTGTCAAGAAAAGTAGCTGTATATGATATAATGCAGAGAAAACCACCCAAAAAAGCACGCTAAATTGATGTGTATTATCAATGTTTATCCAACCAACCAGTGGTTGATGCAACCCATTCAGCATGTGCGCAGTTGTTTAGTTTGTTTATACACTACCTGACAAGTCTTGTCATCGATCCCAGTTGTAAGAGCAACAAATAATAACTGGACTTCTAACTATATTTTCCTATTAAACTAGGAGAAGATTAATCATTAGAACACCTTTCCTCATGCCTAAACAACATTAAGACTTGGATGACCAATAACTCTCTGCAACTAAATGAAAATAAAAGTGCTCCTATTACCTGTAGGTCCTGCTGCTACCAACGTTTTAATCAAAACTCAGCAAGGATTTCTAAGTAGTAATCTACAGTCACGCCAAAAATCTTGGAGAAAGATTTTGCAGTTTGACAAGCATGTAAATGCAGTTGTAAAGAGCACCTTTTCCAACTTAGATTCATGGCAAAAGTTAAATCATTTCTCTCTAAAAAAGATTTAGAAACTGTGACCCATGCTTTAATCTCCTCTCGGTTAGACTACTGCAACTCCTTTTACATTGGTCTTCCCCAGTCAACACTCTCGGTTACAGTTGGTCCAAAATGCAGCCGCCAGATTTAGAACAGGAACTAAAAAAAGAGATCATATCTCCCCTGTCCTCGCCTCATTGCACTGGCTTCCTATAAAATTCAGAGTTGATTTTAAAATCCTTCTTTTTACATATAAAGCTTTGCACAATTCTGCCACGGCCTATCTTAGTGAACTTATTAGGACATATACAGCTCGTAGACCATTAAGGTCCCATGATCAGTTTCTTTTGTCGATCCCTCGGTCTGGCTGCAAATCAAAAGGTGATCGAGCTTTCTGTGTTGCGGCCCCAAGGCTATGGAACAGTCTCCTGTTGGACATCAGGATTTCTACATCCTTGGATACTTTTAAATCTAACTTGAAGACGTATTTTTACTCCCTTGCCTTTGAGTGACTCATACATGTAATTTCTATACGATATTTTAGTATCACATGTATACATACAGTTGAAGTCAGAATTATTAGCCCCCCTGAATTATTAGCGCCCCTGTTTATTTTTTCCCCCAATTTCTGTTCTGTTCTGGGAAGATTGTTTCAGCTCATTTTTAAGCATAATAGTTTTAAAAACTTATTTCTAATAACTGATTTATTTTATCTTTTCCATGATGACAGTAAATAATATTTTCCTAGATATTTTTCAAGACACTTCTATACAGCTTAAAGTGACATTTAAAGGTTTAACTAGGTTAATAAAGTGAACTAGACAGGTTAGGGTAATTAGGCAAGTTATTGTATAATGATGGTTTGTTCTGTAGATTATCGGAAAAAAAAATAGCTTAAAGGGGCTAATAATATTGTCCCAAAAATGTTTTTTAAAAAATTAATAAATGCTTTTATTCTAGCCGAAATAAAACAAATAAGACTTTCTCCAGAAGAAAAAATAATATCAGACATACTATAAAAATGTCCTTGCTCTGTTAAAAATCATTTGGGAACTATTTTAAAAAGAAAATCTAAATCAAAAGGGGGCTAATAATTCTGACTTTAACTGTATATATTTCCTTTTCTTACATTTTTAATAAAAGTTTTATTTTTTTCATTTTCTTTAATATTTTATCTTATTGTAAAGCACTTTGGATCAACTACGGTTGTATAAAATTGTGCTCTATAAATAAAGTTTGCCTTGCCTTGCCTTCTAGTTGATCATTTGAAAAAGTGGCAGAAGGTAGATTTTTCTGATGAATCATCTGTTGAACTGCATCCCAATCATTACAAATACTGCAGGAGATCTGTTGGAACCCGCCTGGACCCAAGATTCTTACAGAAATCAGTCAAGTTTGGTTTAGGAAAAATCATGGTTTGGGGTTACATTCAGTTTAGGGGCGTGCGAGAGATCTGCAGAGTGGATGACGACTTCAACAGCCTGATGTTTCAAGACATTTGTGCCACCGAATACATTACAAACCACAGGAGAGGGCAAATTCTTCAGCAGGATAGCGCTCCTTCTCATACTTTAGCCTCCACATCAAAATTCCTGAAAGTGAAGAAGGTCAAGGTACTCCAGGATTGGCCAGCCCAGTCACCAGAAATAAAAATTATTGAGCATGTCTGGGATAAGATGGAGAAGGAGGCATTGAAGACTCTTAGATGACTTTATTAATAAGTTATTCGAGTCATTGCAAATATGTATGGATGCAGTCGTCCAAGCTCATGGGAGTCATACACAATATTAATTCTTTTTCTACTGCAGCCTGACGTTGTATTATATACTGTACATTTATTTCTGTGACCTGTCTAAGCGAAGTCAGACCTTATTGTCATAATTAAATAATTTAAAATCAAGGCATGATCTTGTTTTATTTTGGTAAAATAAGTGTAATCTATAGGCCTTCACCTTTCATATAAGCCACTTCTGATACCAAACGATCAACTAGAAGTCAAGGTATTATTTGTTGTTTCTAAAACTTGGATAGGCGACTAGACTTTTGTCAGGTAGTATAGATGGAGCAGTAAATGAGCACATTCCAGAAATTTACATTTCATTACTCATCCAATAAATGAATATTTGATGTTGTCAATTATTCTTCCTCATTTTGATCCAAAACCTGCTGTTCCTATAAAATTTACAGTCAAGTTATCATTATTAAACAGTCCTCAGTACATTTCCATTTCAATGTAATATTTCCTTTACAGTAATCCACAGGTGTCCTGAGATGGCTGGTGCTTTTTCTTTCTGTTGAACTCTCCTTTCATCTCTCTCCTTCTCCACATAGGAGATTAAGAAGCTAAAAGAGTTAATGAGTGCCACAGAGAAGGTCCGACGGGAAAAATGGATCAACGAGAAGACCAAAAAGATCAAGGAGATCACTGTAAAAGGTCAGCAGAGTTCAACAACAGACGTCAATCAGCACCAGCGCCCCATCTCTCTCAGTTTGGATCTAGATAACCACTCCCTTCAACAATATCCATTTCAACACAGCCTGTCTGTTTCGTTAAACCTGTTTCCAAAATCAGTCACGTTTATGATTTCTCTATGCCCTGAAGACAAGAATAAAATGCCTAATAAGTAGATGGCACACCTGGAATGTTTTTCGTTCACATTTTCTTAGTGCTGTTGTTAAATAGTGATACCTAAATAGGCAAACAGAATAGACTTTTGGTGGTTTTCTCTAATGAAGGGAGTATTTCAAGGTGGTAAAACTGCGGATCACTTGAGTTATTTGTGTTTTATTAAATATTTATTAAATACATGCTTTGGTACATACTTTTGGGTAACTTTTTAGAATGAATCTCTAATTACAATTGAAACCACCAGCTACTGGGTGTCATAAGCCAATCTGGAGACTATGTACACTAGGCACCTAAGAAGAATTACAAATATAATTTTAAGTGACACTGCTCATCCCCTACATTCAGAATTTCATCTCTTTCCTTCTGGTAACAGGTTTCTAGTATCAAGCTGTAGAACTAAACGATACAAAAATAATTTTTTACCAGCAGCCATTAGGCATTTAAATAAAGGCATACACTAAAGCAGAGGTACAGTGCAACTGGAAAGTATTTATAGCGCTTCATTTTTTCCAGATTTTTTATGTTACAGCCTTATTCCAAAATGGATTAAATTAATGTATTTCCTCAAAATTCCACACACAATAACCCATAATGACAATGTGAAAAAAAGAGTTTTTTAAATTGCTGCAAATTTATTAAAAATAAAAAGCTTAAAAAAATCACATGTACAGAAGTATTCACAACCTTTGTCGTGAAGCTCTAAATTGAGCTCAGGTACATTCCGTTTGCACTGATCATTCTTGAGATGTTTCAGCTGCTTAATTGGAGTTCACCTGTGGTAAATTCAGTTGATTAGACATGATTTGAAAAGGCTACAACTGTCTAAATAAGGTCCCAGGGTTGACAGTGCATGTCAAAGCACAAACCAAGCATGAGGACAAAGGAATTGTCTGTAGACCTCCGAGACAGGATTGTCTCGAGACACAAGGCTGGGGAAGGTTATAGAAAAATTTCTGCTGCTCTGAAAGTTCCAATGAGCACAGTGGCCTCTATCATCCGGAAGATGTTTGGAACCACCAGGACTCTTCCTAGAGCTGTCCTGATATCTTAGCTGAGTGATCGGATGAGAAGGGCCTTAGTCATGGAGGTGATCAATAACCTGATGGTCACTTTGTCTGAGCTCCAGCATTCTTCTGTGGAGAGAGGCTAACCTTACAGAAGGACAACCATCTGTGCAGCAATCCACCAATCAGGCCTGTATGGTAGAGTGGCCAGACGGAAGCCACTCCCCATCTGGAAATTGGCAAAAGCAAAAGGACTCTCTGAAGAAGGACTCTCAGACCATAAAAAACAAAATTCTCTGGTCTGATGAAACTAAAACAGAACTCTTTGGAGTGAATGCCAGGCGTTACATTTGGAGAAAATCAAGCACCGTTCATCACCAGGCTAATACCATCCCTACTGTGAAGCTTGGTGGTGGCAGCATTATGCTGTGGGGATGTTTTTCAGCAGCAGGAACTGTAAGACTAGTCAGGATAGAGGGAAAGATGAATGCAGCAATGTACAGAGACATCCTGAATGAAAACCTGCTTCAGAGTGCTTTTGATCTAAGACTGGGGCGATGGTTCATCTTCCAGCAAAACAATGACCCAAAGCACACCACCAAAATATCAATGGAGTGGCTTCACAACAACTCAGTGAATGTCCTTGAGTGGCCCACCCAGAGCCCAGACCTAAATCCTATTAAACATTTCTGGAGAGATCTGAAAATGGGGGTACACTTTTGTTTCCCATGCAACCTGAAAGAGCTTAAGGGGTACTGCAAAGAGGAATGGGCTAAAATTCCCAAAGGCAGGTGTGCCAAGCTTGTGGCATCGTATTCAGAAAGACTTGAGGCTGTAATTACTGCCAAAGGTGCATCAACAAAGTATTGAGCAAAGGCTGTGAATACTTATGTACATTTGATTTTTGAGTTTCATTTGCAACAATTTCAAAAAGTATTTTTTTTCACATTGTCATTATGGGGTTTTCTGTGTAGAATTTTGAGTGATTAAATGAATTTAATCAATTTTGAAATAAGGCTGTTTTATGACTTTATGTCCATTTGTTGTTACCATGTGATTTTTCTGTGGCGCTGATATGAAATGAGGAGTCTTGACTGCAAAGTTGCAAGCCAAATCTGCCTTGGGGTAAAAAAAATAAAGTAACCAAACTAGTTTTAAAGCTTCTAGACTCTTATCTTCAGGTATAGTTGACTTACCTCTTAACTTAATACTTGACTTCGCTATAAAATTGTGTGAAAATTTGTTGCGCATCACAAAAGAAGATATTTTGAAGAAGATGCCATTTTTTTAAATATTTAAAAAAATAAAAATTTTAATCTCTTTGTGTGTGCACTCAGGTCTAGAACCTGAAATTCAGAAGCTGATCTCCAAACACAAGCAGGAGCTGAAGAAGCTGAGAGTTCTTCATGAGGCAGAGCTCCTCCAGGCGGACGAGAGGGCTGCTCAACGCTACGTCAGACAGAGCGAGGAGTTACGGCAACAGCTGGAGAAAGAAAAAGATGAACAGTGCCAGAGAGAAAGAGAATTGGCTAAGCAGAGGTACACACACCCTTGCACATGCATATGTGTGGAGTGCAATGAATACTCAAATACACATCTGTTCATCAGAGATCTAACCAATGACAGGGATGTGCAGCCAAGACAATGTGTTCACAGATGTTAAAAAACACAAACACACTAGGAAAAAAAGGAAGGGAGACTGGAAAAAGTGATAGAGGAAACTGGCTAGACATGAGCTCAAAGCTAAATACTGCTTTTGAATATGAGGTATCAAAATAAGGAGTGCAAGAGGGCTATTTTTTATGTAAGGTTAATTACGTCAGTATTATTTTTTCTTTCCTGTGTTGATGCATTTCATTTTTAAATAGGATGTCAAAGGAATATTGAAGACTTGATTCATTTTTTTAAATAGAAAGTGACTTTTACATTATATCTATCAATGATTTGATACTAAGACTTTTTTTACACAGTCTTCTCTCACACACAAATATATATGACATCAGTTACCACATGTTCAGCTCCTAGAAGTATATAGAAATAATTATAAAAGCACAATAAACATGGTTTGTGACAGTTATGAAACAGCCAGAATGAAACAATAAAACACAGAGAGAAGTTTTGAATGCAGTTCATATACAGTATAAGTATACAGTAGATGCAAAAAGTATTCAGACCCCCCCCTTACATTTTTAAAAAATATTTAGAAATATTAAAATTTTCTTTTTAAATAAATTTGCCAGAATGACAACAATTTAGCAATTTAATTTTCTGTGAATTTTTTGTGTACATTAATGGGAAAAAAAATTAAAAATGGCTTCAATATAAGAGTGAAAAATTTAAGGGGGTCTAAATACTTTCTGTACCCACTACGGCTGTGTGATTATTCGAAATCGAATAGTAATAGTAAGATGCTGCGATATGAAATATATATATATATATATATATATATATATATATATATATATATATATATATATATATATATATATATATATATATATATATATATATGTATTATTTAATTTCCCCAGCCCAAATAAAATACATGACTGCCGTCTGTGTGTGATCGTTTTACTAGCCAATTGAGTGAGCACACTTTCGTTCTGCTCAATTAGAATTGCGCAACCAAACTATGCGGAATGGCCACAATAAAAAAACAAAACAAAAAGCAGCACGAGTGGGATGATGGCATTTGCCGGTTCTAAAGCATTAATAGACAAATTAATATCAAAGAAAAACAAGACAGCAGTAATATGGGAATATTTTGGTTCTAAAAAAACCTGTGGGTCCTTCACTCGGCCTTTTCCCCTTAGCAAAGAAACTTTCCAAATCTTTCCTGTTTCCAAAATCTTTCCTGTTTCTTAGGCTGCATTTACACCACAGATCTTGATGGTCAATTCCGTTTTTGTGACTCTATCTAATTTTTTTTGATGACCCGCTTGCTTCATGTTGTAAAAGTGACTCCTATCCGATTGTCAGCATTTACACAGCAAACTGCAAGTAAGCTGGGAAAAAAAGAGCAGGCGTTGACTGACAACTGATAATAAAAAAGCGCCCTTTTCTCCGTTCCTGTATGTAATCTGTTTGCAGGGTTGTTTTACTATAGTGTATGACAGAAAGGTTCTCATTTGGCCATCTTCTTTTAATCTAGGTTTTAAACCAGTAGACATCCTAATGTAATGTCCATGACGTGATTTATGCATGTGATGTACTGTACTGTATCCAACAGTTTTATATTAGTTTATACTGGTTATGAGGTGGATATTACACTCTCTCGCTCTCTCTAGCTCTCTCTTATCTCTTGTGCTACATGACAATATAAAAGCATTTTTAGCCCTCGTGTATGAGATTTAAGGTTAGGGACTCTGCTGAAGTCTGTTCTAAAATGAAAGCATCAGAGTTGACATTATTCGTGTATGTGTTTAATGATGTGCTACACATTGACAGATCAAAATCCGTTCTACCGGCATACAGCAGACATGAGGGCACAGATCCAATTTATATAGAATAAATTTCCACATGAACAAGGACTGAATCTAACTTGAGTAAATTGGAATCCATGTGATTTATTTTTTCCTGCTTACACATACACAGGCCATATCTGATCTGTGCCACATAAGAGAAAAAAAATCGGAATTGAGTCACTTGAACCATGCAGTGTAAATGCAGCCTTATGCTGTGTTCACACCAGACGCGGAAAGAGCGTCAAGCGCAAGAGATTTACATGTTAAGTCAATGCAAATGCGCGAATAGACGTCCTGCAGCGCGAATGGCGCAAAATATGTGAATGGCAAGACACGAATTGAGCATTTTGCGCGAATCACTCGAGTTCAAAAATCTGAACTTAAGCGGATATTCGCGTCGCGTTAACCAATTACGAGCTTGCTCTTGTGGGGGCGTGATTGTGACGTAGCACCTGTTGTTGGTGTCACGGGGGAAATCCTCCAGCCGACACCGACAACAGTTCATCAAAATGAGCTCAGCTCAGTCAGAAGCACAGCTGAAAGCCTCCATCATCCAGGTTAAGTTTCTGAAGAAGTTTTTGAGCTCACAGAGCTGGAAGTACCTCTGAAAGGATCTAGTAGACTTAGACATGGCCTTAAACGTATCAACGCTGTTTTTCAGCCTTCATAAATAACATAAACACTGTTATTTTCTTAATAAAATCCATGTTAGCCATTTAGCAACAAAGCTAGAGTCACCGGACAGACAGAAGCCCTGCACATCATGCGAATCTGCGTCTGTTCTGAAGTGAATTTGACGCTCGAATGAAGAGAGTAAACTCAAATGTTCACGTGGCTATTTACGCGCGAATAGCGCGATTCTGCGTCTAGTGTGAACACAGCATTACTTATTTTGCTGCTTGCGGATTTAATTTGGGCACTCAAGTGACCGAGATGTAAGCGAGAGAACAGAGTCATTTTTCAAAATAAAAGATTCAGATAGAAGACTCAGAATAAATAAAACAAATATAATTGTTTTCTTGTGCGTCACGAAGCTACAATACAGATTATTGAGCTGAAACATGACTATAACATAAAATCAAAATTGCAATATCTGTCAAAAAAACTGCAATTAGATATTTTCCCCAAATCACACAGCCCTAGTGTACATATGTGTGTGTGTGTGTATATATATATATATTTATATATTTATTTATTTATTTATTTATATATATATATATATTTATATATATATATATATATATATATATATATATATATATATATATATATATATATATATATATATATATATATATATATATATAATAGTAGTGGTTAGCACTGTCGCCTCACAGAAAGAAGGTTGCTGGTTCAAGTCTTGGCTGGGTCAGCTGGCAATTCTGTGTGTAGTTTGCATGTTCTCTCCGGTTCGCGCGGGTTTCATCTACATGCTCTGGTTTGCCCCACAGTGCAAAGAAATTAACTTTATTTGTCAGTGTATGAGTGCCTGGATAAGAGTTTTAGGGTGTTTCCCAGTTCTGGGTTGCAGCTGGAAGGGCATCTGCTGTGTAAAACATATGCTGGATAAGTTGGTGGTTTATTCCGCTGTGGCAACCCTAGATGAATAAAAGGACTAAGCCAAAGGAAAATGTATGAATGAATAGTTTAGTGCAGGGGTGCTCAATCCTGTTCCTGGAGATTTACCTCACCAAACACACCTGCTTGTAATCATCAAGTGCTGTTCAGGTTTTAATTAATTTGTTCAGGTGTGTTTGATTAGGGTTGGAGCAGAACTCTGTAGGAAGGTAGATCTCCAGGAACAGCGTTGAGCACCCCTGGTTTAGTGTATCCTTACTAAATAAAACTTTGTTAAACATACAAACAAAAGAAACACTGACCTTAAACTTTTTGAATGGTAGGCTATGCAATTCCTTTTGAACTGTATGTACAGATTTTTCTCATAAGGTTTGAATTTGTGGTAATAAAAAAAAAAAACAAGATGTGGGTTTTGAAAAGGCATGAATGTGAGCACACAACAACATTTGCATTTTTCTATGAACTGCTCCTTTGGTTGTTTTCTGTTTCCAGTGCTGTACTTGCACTTCTGTGGGAAATGGAGGCTCTTGTGCAACAGTCAGTGTAATTAAATAGGCCTTAATTAGTGTTTTGTGTGTGTGGCTTTATTGCAGAGATTTATGATAAGGCATATATTTTTCCTTCCACGTATCATGAGTTCCTTCATTTGGAACTGTTGTCTTACTCTATAACATTTTCTTGTCAGACTGGCGCATTGTTCATAAGCTTATAATAAAGTCATTATGGGTATTTTTGTGTGTTTGTGTTATTGTTGCCAGGATCGGTAGAAAATATACACAAACACACCACTTAAGTGAACATGAGCTTGTGTGGATGTTTATTGCTCAACATGTAATGCAGGTAGTATGGGGTTTTGACTAACAATATTGTGTGCTTAAGTGACTAAATTAATTCCCATGCATTGAGTTTTGATGAGAAATGTTCACTGTAATTGAATGTACAAGCGAGTAATTTTAATTTGTATCCCAGGTTGGAGAAGCAGCTGCAGGAAGAGGAGAACGTGCTGCAGCAACAGAGGAGGCGTCTTTATAAAGAAGTGTCGGAGGAAAAAGAGCGTCTCACACAACTGGCAGCAAGGTCAGGTTTACAAGTCATTAAAGGTCACATGAGTATTACCTTTATCTATAACTACTATATCTTAACTTAAAATAGGATCATTTGATACTATACACTTCTTTTATATAGATGTGTATTTACATTTATACTATTATTTAAAAATATTTGGATGTAATTAAATTCTGTAGTTACTTCTGTAATTATAATTTTCACTCTAACACTTCTCTTTAATCAATCCTTAACAGGTTTTCATACCAATAAATCTGCCTTAAATCTACTTCACTTGCAGAAGTGTTTTGTAATGCAACGTGAACACAAATTAGTACATTGTAAAACAGTAGACATCTAAAATGTTTCCATGGTTTATCTTTTGTCCAGTTTTTCAGTAAAATATCCAGTATCGTTAAATTACTAAATTTAATACATTACATTGTTAATACATAGTTTAGATAATGTATGTTAAATCTTGGCTCCGTGGTTAGCACTGTCGCCTCACAGCAAGGTTGTTGATTTGAGTCCCTGCTGGGCTAGTTGGCATTACTTTGTGGAGTTTGCATGTTCCCTCCGTGTTGGTGTGGGATTCATCCGGGTGCTCTGGTTTCCACACAGTCCGAAGACATGCGCTATAGGTGAATTGGGTAAACAAAATTGGCCATAGTGTATGAGTGTGTGAATGCGAGAGTCTATGTGTGTTTCCCAGTACTGGGTTGCAGCTAGAAGGGCATGTCTGCGTAAAAAATTAGCCCGGAATAGTCAGCGGTTCATTCTGCTGTGCAATCCACTGATAAACCACTGAATCTTTTAGCAAATATCTTTAAAACTATCCAGATTTATGCCTATTTAAATAAAACATTTTGAAATTTGATGATCAAATGCTTTCCTAACTGCTATTTTCTCAGCACTGTCATTTTTATTGTATTATTAAAAAAAACCAACATATCTTTACACAACAGCTCACAATATAAAATCAAAAAACAAATAATAATAAAAATCCAAAAAGCATAGAGGGCCAGGCTTTTTATAAACAGAATGTCCGCTGGGTCTTAAAGTCTTAATGTCATAAATTCATTCATTTTCTTTTCGGCTTAGTTCCACTGATTTATTAATCAGGGGTCGCCACAGCTAAATGAACTGCAAACTTAACTAGCATATGTTTTACGAAGCGGACACCCTTCCAGCTGCAACCCATCACTGGGAAACATCCATACACACTCATTTATACAGACAATTTAGCTAACCAATTCACCTATAGTGCATATGTTTGGACTGTGGGGGAAACCGGAGCACCCAGAGGAAACCCACACAAACACAGGCAGACTCCACACAGATATGTCAACTTACCCAGCCGGGGCTCGAACCAGCGACCTTGTTGCTGTGAGGCGATCGTGCTACCCATTGTGCCACCGTGACGTCCATGTCTTAAATTTCAAAAACTAAAATTTAAGCCTTAAAAAGTCATAAATTCATTTTATTTTTTACATCTAATCACCAACAATACACCTCAACAAAACCTTATTTTTTATATTTAACTATTCAACTAAAAACAATTATATGATATTACCAGGCGATTAGAAAAAAAATCCTGTGTAAGTCTAAAATTTCATTCTTAATGTTCCTAAAATGGTTTTAAAAAGTCTTAATTTGACTTGATGAAACCTGCAGAAACTCTGTACAAATGACATTAATGCCTAAAATACAAAGACAAAGGAAAAAAATAAAACACAACAAAAAGAGGGAGATGGAATCATGATAGAAATCACATTATCACAAATTCATCTTAACGCCACTCACATCTGAGAATTTTTGGTCTTGCTTAAATGTCCCAACGAACTAAACTTTGGTTAGAAAATAATACAATGAAGTTCTAACTAAACAAGAATGTGTTTGTGTGTGATACAGGCAGCATGCAGAGCTGGAAGACTTAAGGAAGCAGCTGGAGGACAACAGCTCTTTGGCAGGAAGAGCATTGAGAGAAGAGCTGGAGAAGAGCAGGGATGAGCAGGAGAGACGTCATCAGGTAACACACTTCCACATCTAGTCATATTAAAACATACATGCAGATCAATAATAAGGTAAATCATTCCATCTTCATTGCACATACTGTTTGTCTTTTTTGCATCAAACACAAAAGGGGATGTTTAGCAGCATGTATTATCTGCTTCTTTGCAATACTTTGTGGTCATTTTTCACATGAAGCTTGAACAATCTGCCTGATCTCATGTATTGCATTCAAAAACAAAATAATACAGTTTAATTTATGCATAAAGGAAAGTGAATGATGACATATATGTACTTTTAATCAGATGTTGCAGCCACTCACACATCTTTTTATCTTTAAGTTCTGTATTTATCATTGATATTAGTAAGGCTAATTAATTAATAAAAAAAAAAATTAAACGGTAAATTGCAAATAAATACTAATGACACTTGTTAGTGATATCGACAAGTTGTATTCTGTAATGTTTTCGTGTTAATGATATCATGCAGTGCAGCGCTAATCTGATTTTTCCTTATGTTCATCATTCCTGGTCTAACCAACATCAGTCGTGTTTTGTTTTTGCCTGAGGCTCTCAGACCAGAACTCAAAGTACCTGTGTTTCGACTTGTGTACGTGTTTGATGGCACAGTGTTTGCAAAGGTCACACGAAAACACCATGAGTTGAATTCGCATTCTTTCGGTTCTTTTAATTGAGTTTTTGTCTGTATTTTTCATTAGGTTGAAATAAAGGCCCTGAAGGAACGACTCGAAATTGAGAAACAGACATGGGAGGAAAATTATATGAAAAAAGAGGTGCGTGTGTTTTGTGTATGTGTTTTTGAGCTAAGATTATTTGGTGATATATTATTAGGCTTATTTTTTAAATGACTAATGTCAGTTAAGTGGGAAGCTGAAGCTTTAAAGGGAATGTGACATAGGATGAGGTATAATTTGCAGAACAAGAAGCAAGGCAAAACAGGAAAAGATGTAATTTGCAGAATGAGAAATAATATCTACTGAATTTCCCTAATTTGACTAATCTTAAAATACCATTCTAAAAAAACATTGTTGTGATTTATTTTAGCTTTACTTCATGATTTTTTTTTTTAACTTGGAATTACTCATTTTTTGTTAAAAGAGTAATTTGAACTATCCCGTGAGTATTAGGACATTCTGATTTTATATTCATTGAGCAGTGCACGACTGAAAAGACTTTAATGAAATGCCTCCGGTGCTTAGACTGCAGCTCTGCACAAGACATTTCACCAGTAGAGAATTGGTCGGACCCATCTGAGCCTGATTCTCTCAAGGTTTTTTTTCCTTCACTTTCGCCAATTGGTGAGGTTTTTTCCTCGCCACTAGATTGCATGGTTCGGGTTTTGTAGAGCTGCGCATCAATGGATTTGCTCTTCAATGTTTGGACTCTCAGTAGTGATTATTAATTTTACACTGAACTGAGCTAAACTGAACTGAACTTAAACTTTAAAACTGAACTACACTGTTTCAATTTACTATGATCTTTTATGTGAAGCTGCTTCGACACAATCTACAATGTAAAAGAGCTATACAAATAAAGGTGAATTGAATTGAACTTAAATATTGTTTGATAAACTATAGCTTGAAGAATTGATATCTACTCTGCACTAAAAGGCAACACTGTACAATTTCACATATATATTTCAATATATTGTAACAAAAAAGTTGATTTTATTATCACTGTATTGTATATTTAAAAGCTGGGCTGGGATGTTTTTTTTTCTTCTTCTTCTTCTTTTATTTATTTTTGTAAGTTTTTGCATATCAGAATAATAATCCTGGAACTTATTTGACAAAAATACAGGGGGAAAAAACAAACATTCAAACAGTAATGTTTTGTTAAATTTTACTAGTCTGAAATGGTCATTATTTTGTAACAAGTGCAAATAACCACCATTATGATTGGATAACATCTAACCTCGACTAATTAGCTGTTGCACAGGTTATCTGGTAATAAGTCATCTTTATAGGGCACCTATGATGAAAATCATCTTTTGTAAGCTGTTTGGACAGAACTGTGTGTAGGTATAGTGTGTCCACAGTCAGATTAGAGTAATATAAAAACAATAAGTCTCTTTTTATCTGACGTTAAAATGGATCCAAATCCCTCCTATTTTGAGGCTGACCACAATGTGATGCAGGAGTGCGGTTTCCCTGCCCACAGAATTGATTGACAGCCGCGTATTAGCATTCCTCTGTAGTAACGCATATAATCGTATCCACAAGACAGGAGGTGCAAAAAGCAACTGAGATTAAGGGTGCTTTCACACCTACACTTTTGATTCGGAACGTATCTCGTTTGCCCAGTTAGCGCAGTTCGATTGGCATATGTGAACAGGGCAATCGCGCTCTGTTCCGCGCCAAAGTAATCGCTCCGAGATCGCTTGAATGAGGTGGTCTCGGCTCGATTGAAACGAACCCTGGAGCGGTTCGATTGCAGTGAGAAAGCGATCCGATCCGAGCGCGGTTATATCACAGTGTTTTATGGATATGTAATAGGCTTACGGCTATATGAAGAGAGAATTATGAGTAGGGCGGGAAGTTTCGCGAGTCTCCGGATGCCCGCAAACGAGTGATGATCTCCCGGTAATCTCGTGTCTCTCTCCCAGTCCTCAAATAGGCATCATCGCGCACCCTTCTCACCCCTCCCCACCGTGTCTCTCCTCAGACACGTCACGCGCGTGCACCCTGTCAATCACCACCAAACCACCACCTCTCCTGACAGCTGAGCGGGACACTGCAAAATAAACCCTGACACTCTGACCAATGTAAGGAGAGTTTACTCGCACTTGACTTGTTTTAGCTCTTTTGGTCCAATTAGAAACTTTGCAGTGTGAAAGCGAACCGCTCCAAGAGCAAAGAGCAACAACGTAACAATTCTAATCTCTGTTTCGGAACAACTGAATCGATTCACAGGTGTGAAACAACCCTAAAAGATCTGTTCAGCTCACTGTGATCATCTGCACCTCAACAATGAGTTTTACAAGTTTAAAACAATTTTAAAAGAGAGCATGTTTATAATAAATTACACTGATTTTACTGTCTTTACTTCATCACCACAGCCTCAAGTCAGTACAATTCTAAAAGAAGATGAAGATTTAATCCCGGTTTGTGGACGTTAAATCAGGTTTATTTTGTACATTGACAAACTGAATATCTATACAGCATTGGATAATAAGCTGTATACTTCAACATTTGCCATGCAAAAACAGTGCAAAGTTAACACGTGCTGTGTGTGTGTCTGTCTGTGTGTGTGCATGCATGAATTTTGTAACGACATTGTGTTTGACTCATCATTGCAACTACACAACAAATACATCAAATAATCATTGGGAAAGTTCTTACTCCAGTATTTCTCACAAATGTTACGTGAGATCTGCTTCCTTCATGTCTGTCACTGTGCTGTTTATTTGACACAGCCGAGGTGGATATTTAAGCACACTTTGACAGACATGTGAGAACGGCGGGTGGGCAGAACTAGCATTAAATGCACTGGTGACAAAAACTGCTTCATGGTTGTTCAGAGCAGAAATTCTAACATTCTAAAAGCTATAATAAATAATCTGATATGTGTTTTTAGCTGAAACTTTACAGACACATTGTGGAGACACAAAAGACTTAGATTAAATCTTGAAAAGGGGTAAAAAAAAAAAAGGTGACCTACGTGTCATTCAACCTCTTATGAGATTATAAACAAGGAAAAAACCAAACATTTGAACAGTAGTGTGTTGTTCAATTGAACTAGCCATAGTCATTATTTTGTAACAAGTCCAAATGACCTCCATTATTGGATAACATCTAACCTAATCTAATTAGCTGTTGCACAGGTTGACTGGTAATAAGTCATCTTTAAAGGTGACAGCGGAGTGATTTGCTGTTTTGCCGGTTTAGTGTGTTAGTCCACCCCAGAGGTCAAAATAGTCACACATCTGTCAAACAAAGGCCATTAACAAATTCAGTGAAGGTAACAAAGTTAAAAAGTGATCTCATCCTTGCATTTCATCCCACAGGAAGCATGGCTGTTGAGTCGAGAGAGGGAGCTGAAAGAGGAAGTGCGTCGTGGAAGAGACAAAGAGATCGAACTGGCCATTCAGAGGCTAGAGGTGGAGACCAGAGAGGCCAGAGAGGAGTGCGAGCGAGCTGCTGACAACCGGTGGGTTCTTCTTCCTGTTTATGTGTGAACAAGTGTGTCCGTGGAGAGATAGACAGCACAGGATGTTACAGATTGCCCACATGCATTTCAAGGCCAGTGCGAGTAAATGTGTGCAGGCGTTTAATTAAGACCAAAGACACTGTGCATTTGATTTCCCCACTGACTCATTTAATTTAGTTTAGCTTAAATGTTGACCATAAAAAACAACATGAAAAAATACTGTAATAAAATACAATAGAATTGAACTAATAATACGTAAAACATAAAAGGCATGGATATGTGTTTAATAAAAATATAAATATATATTTGAAGGTTATTTGTTTTTATTTAGATTAAAATGATGCCAATTTTAAAGCTCTAAATAATGCAGTCCAGTTTTTGAATAATAATATCTTTGAAATTGTGGTGCAAACCAGAGCACCCTGAGGAAACCCATGCAAACACAGGGAGAACATGCAAACTCCACACAGAAATGCCAATTGACACACCCGAGACTTGAACCTTCTTGCTGTGAGGCGACAGCGCTAACCACTGCACTGCCCAGATTAGCTTTATTTTGTATATAAAAAATATTAATATCAATTTCTAAATCAAAACGAAGCCTATTGTTAAAGTTTTATTTGCATTGTCAATTGTTTTCACAATTAAGTGCAAATGTGTACTACTCTACTGTGAAATGTTGAGTACTTTACTGGGCAATTTGGACATACTGTAGAGTGTGTGGCCATTTACATGTGAAGCTCATTCATTTAAAATAAGGCCATTTAACATATGGATCAATTGTTGGTTTTAAAAGCTGAATGTAAAAACATTATGTGTGCAGGATGAAGCGCGTGAGGGAGAAATACGAAGCCGAGCTAAGGGATCTGGAGCGTTCGGAGCGGACATCGCTACAGAAACAGCAGGAGATGAGGGAGAAACACAGTGAGATGGAGGCCGAGCTTCTCCGACTGCAGTCTCTTTTACGACAGCGAGAGCAGGAGATAAGCGACCTCACCCAGGTAACCGTTGCCTACTGTCCCTCATTAAAGTCAATAGGTTACTTATAAACCAACAGACTATCTTGTAGGTTTCTTGGTAGAGAAGAAATAATAGGGATTCCATTTCCATGTAATGAATCCAGCTTCTTAATGATTATATTTAAGATCTTTGGTCTTTAAGATGAAAGGTCAGCGAGCAAATGTGCATCCACACCAATACACTGATTAATCATCCCATCGTCCTTCTTTAGATGCAAACTGTTAACCTCACAATTAGCAGTAGTAGATTTACCAGTTGTAACTTTAAAATAACAATTTGCTTATCTGACTTGTATGGTTATGTTGGTTGTGGTGTTAAAAAAAAAAAATTCAAAACTGAAGAGGAGTACTGCAACATTTGTGTAAATCTTACGGCTCATATATTATTCTCTCATGCAGTTGCAGATTAATCTTTTTGACTGTAGGACTTCTCATTCTGCTGAGAACAATTTTATATTTCTTTGGGTCAGTTAAGCATCTGAGTTTGCAGTATTTTTCCTTGTCCCTTACTGTAAAACATTTTGATCTGTCTGAATCGGGAAAGACCCATGCTCACTTCAAAAAACTAACAGAGCAGACAAAAATGAGCTGATCAGTTCACGCTTAAGCAGTTTTTGGATTTAATATCAGTAAAGGAAAACAGAATAACATGTTTACGTGATCATTTTCAATCTATTTAGTATAATCAGGTGCATGTAAATGCACTTTTAAATTATTATTACATGTTATTGAGTAAACAAAGGAAGGCACAGTGGTTGCTGGTTCACATCCCAGCTGGACTTGCAGGCCTTTCTGTGTGGAGTTAGTGTGGATAAATTAAATGGGCTGTAGTGTGTGTGACCTAGGCCCCGTTTACACTAGTGCGTTTTAGTTTTAAAATGGAGTTTTTGAATTAAAACTATCCGCGTCCACACTAACGTTTCACCCAGCATTTCTGAACAGCTCTCCGTCCACACCAAAATGCTGAAAACGCACATCCCATGACCACACACACTCTTGGGCAAGCGCTGCAGCCTATCTACCTAGATGAGAGCTGTGCTAGTCGGACTGCTCATCAAGCATCTCCCGCTGGATCTAATCTCACTATATTTATTAAACTTGATATTTCAATCATCTTGTTGTCTTTATCTAATAACATATTCCCCGACTTTGGTCATTGGAATCTAGCCAGGGTGATGTGAATGAAGTTATAAAGTACACTGTTCCCTTTTAAGATTTACCCGTGTCCTCGGTAGTCTGTTTTCCATATCAAACTGAGGAGGGGAAAACTGCAGCCTTGATCAAACTTGCGAAGTCTGAACTTACAAGGAGAGGATGCAGGACTGAACTGTGTGTGTTAGGCTACTTAATATTGAGGAAAAGCCCCAATCAAATAGGCGAATGTCGGCAGCCCCACCTCTGTTAACAGATGTCTCCGTTTTCCCCCATCCACACTGAGACAGAGCAGCAGCGTTTTAGAATGAAAACGGCCTCTCCAGCGTTTTCAAAACGATCAAATTTGGGCACTCGAAAACTCAGGCGCAGTGTGGACGGTTGGCGTAACCACAGCCAAACTTTTTGTGTAAACGGGGCCTTAGATGGGTTATGGCAGTATGGGTATCCACCCATAAAACATATGCCATAGTACTTGGCGGTTCATTCTGCTGTAATGAACCCTTATAAAAAAGCAGGAATTAAGCAGAAGGAGAATGAGTGAGATTGTATTGATTAAAAAGACAAATTCAAGTAAGCTCTGAATAAATACATATTTTCAGTCAGGATCACTTTCGTAATATACATCTATTCGTCATATTTCGTCATATACTTTTATGTTTAGAAATGTGTTGGAAAAATCTTCTTTCTTTAATAAGAAATTGAGGAAAAAATATACAGGGGGACTAATAATTCAGGAGGTCTAATAATTCTGACTTCAACAGTTTATTTTTTCCTCAATTTCTTATTAAAGAAAGAAGATTTTTCAAACACATTTCTAAACATAAAAGTTTTAATAACTCATTTCTAATAGCTGATTTATTTTATCTTTGCCATGATGACAGTAAATAATATTTTACTAGATATTTTTCAAGATATTAGTATTCAGCTTAAAGTGACATTTAAAAGCCTAATTTGGCACGTTAGGGTAATTATGCAAATCATTGTATAATGATGGTATTGTTCTAGAGACAACTGATCAAATATTGCTTAAGGGAGCTTATACTAATATTGACCTTAAAATGTTTTTTTTTTTTCTTAAAACTGCTTTTATTCTATCCAAAATAAAACACAAAAGACTTTCTCCAGAAGAAAATATATTATATGCACCACTGTGAAAAATTCTTTGCTCTGTTAAACATCGTTTGGGAAATATTTGACCGAAAAAAACATTCACAGGGCTAATAATTTTGACTTAACGTCATATTAACTGTGTATTTTAATATATTAACTGGGCAAAACAGCAAGTCAAACTCCATGGGGTAACTGAGCAGAAATCATGCACAAACAATTGCATTTATTATGAGTTCATGTAAATGATAGTCATGAGGCTGATTAGCATATACTTAGGCTAATAACTTTTACCAGATACAAGGTATGAGCTAGGAGGAGTTGGGCATGGTGGAGGGGGTTTACTGAACAGAGCACTAAAGAGAGACCGGATGTATAGTTAAAAATAGATCACTGTGAGAGATGTCAGAACCAGATTGGTAAACGTCATGAACAGATGCAAGGTAGACTTACGTGTCCTGCCTGAACTAATGCGATGCTCGATAGTCATTCATAGTTATTTCGAATTGGACTTAATAAAAAATATTGAAGTGAAGAACTGCTCAGAAAGATTTAGGTAGTGAATTATTTAAGCCAAAACAACATCAAAAATGTTTAAAAAAGACGTGTGATAAACGTTTTGACTTTTGATCCTTTGCGCTTGAAGTTACACCTGACTGTAAATGTCAGTGTGTGAAACTACTGAAAATAGATCACCTATTACAGACTGCAGTTAGATAAGGTGTCCAGGATAACAGTGCTTGACACACAAGGCCGGTCGTTTCACTCTTCAGCTAGAGGGGTGATTTTCACACAAGTATCAGGGTCATATCTTACTACAAAATTACTAGAATTTTATGAAAAAATAAAGAAATAAATGGTTATAATCTATTCCAGCAATTATTTAAAAAAAGATTTAAATAAGAATGCGAGTAAAGAGTGAAAAAGTAAAAGAGTAAAAATGCTTAATGTACAATTTCTGTGTGTATTATTTTGTGTTTGTTTATTTTATTTTATTTTAAAGTTAATTTATTAACCCTCAGGCCTTTGAAGATGTCCTTGGTGACCAATCATGGTCAATGGTCTCCCATTTAGAGATTAAAAATAAACAATCGAACAGTTCCTAATTAATCCCCACGGCTTCTTTAGACAGACAAATTCCCCCACAATTCCAAAGACATGCGGTACAGGTGAATTTTGTTAGCTAAAATTGTCTGCAGTACATGTTTGTGTATGAATGTTTCCCTGTAATGCTTTGCAATTGGAAGGGCATCCTCTGCGTGAAACATATGCTTGAAAAGTTGGCGGTTCATTCCGCTTTGGCAACCCCAGATTAATAAATAGACTAAGCTGAAAAAATGAATGAATGAGTCAGTTGACGGTTCATTCCACTGTAGCAACCCCAGATTAATAAAGGGACTAAGCTGAATAGAAAAGAAATAAATGAATATTATTAAGTGTAATCCACTGAACAGTCCTTGGCAAACAATTCACAGTGTAGCACAAGCTTCTAGTAGCTTGATGACTTATTGTAAGACCGAGTGTGAATTCGGACGCCAGTTCATTTATCAGATTGGAGTCATTCCTGCATTTTGGCAAAAATCAACATCCTCATCCTCTTGTCACCTCACATCTGAGTCACAAAAATGGGTCACCATTGACTTGTAATATATGAATTACAAAATACCACAGATTTAGCAGACATAATCTTTAATGTTATACTGAAGAAAAAAAAAAAAAACATGTTTAATCTCTTTGACTGACTTGTTTTTTTTTTTTTAACTGGATTTCCCGTCTTCTTCCTTCATCATGCTCTATCTTTGTCTTTTTTCATGGTATGGCGACAGGCCCGTGATAAGTTATCAGAAGAGCGTCGCAGCCTGTCAGAAGTCATCAGACAGGAGTTTGCAGAGCGGCTTATAGAGCTGGAGGAAGAGAACAGGAGGATGAAAATGGAGGTCTCGGAAGCCAAAGCTCGACTTCGCTTAGAAGTAGAGCGAGTGACCAGAGAAAAGGAAGAAGAGCTTGCAGAAGTACATCAGAGGTCAGTGGCAGAGAGTAATGTTCTTTTCGTTTCCTGTTTCGACATGCAACAGCAGTAGGCAATTGATTACCTATTGTTTTTGTGAATTTTACTGATCTCTTACTTTTATAGAGTGAAGTCAGCTATATTGAAGAAGGAAGAGACTGTGAACAACCTGCGGAAGCAACATGAGGTATATTTTGTGCCTGTTATAACAAATAAAATGCCTTTTAAGATCTATTTACAAATAACTCAAAATTGAATGTATATTTGATGTATTTGCAACTCATTTGTGTTTTTCTTCTGTCTTTCAGGCGGCAGTGAAGAGAGCAGATCATCTTGAGTCATTGCTGGAGCAGCAGAGAAAACAGCTGTTAGGGAAATGAATGACAAGTTAGGGCATTGAACCCCCTAGAGATCCCTTCCCTTCTGTCATACCGTCCTCTTGCGCAAAGAAAGCTTTTCTTTATTTGTTTTTTTGTTTTTTTACGTTTCTTTTGGTTGTTTGGATTCTGGATGGACGTTTTGGTTCCACCAGACCTCTCATCCATAAAGGCAGCCTTTGTCATTCCCATGGGAACAAGGCAAGAAATAAGAGAGGAATTTAATCTTCTCCATGACTCCTGGAGAGGCTTTTGTGTTGTCTCTCTTGCACGGATATGACCAAATTGCAGACTCTTTTCAGCCACCGCTTTCACACAGCTAATCAAACGAACAGTAATTAAAATTGAAACACAATTTCCTTACTAGAGTTTAGATCCAGTGTATTGTTGAATCTTACAGACTCGTGAAAATGTGCATATTTCACCCCCGTACTCAGAAAATATAAATCAGAATTTGCTCCCACATTAAGTGGCCTTAACTACTATGTATTTGCATCAAAATATAAGGACAATGTACTTAATTTGTTCATAATGTGTTGCAGAACACTTCAGGTGCATTTCGGGTCAGGTTTGCTGTTAGGTTTTGGGGTGGGTCAAGGTGTAAGGAACAGTCAAGAGTAATTACACATATTACATATGTACATACATAAGTACAATGTAAAACATTTATAAATTAAAACTAATAATAATATTTAAAATGAATCATCAATCAGTGTAAATAAATGTTAGTTAGGGCTACTTGATGTAAAGTGGGTCCCAGAATTTTTCTTTAGTTTTGAAAACAAGACAGACCACAGCAAATTAAAGTGACAGTTCACCTAAAAATGAAGATTTATTAACAATTTACTCGCCTTGTAATTTCAAATATTTATGAGTTTTGTTTTTCTGTTGAACACAAAGAAAATACGTTGACAGATATTTGAAATCAAAGCCATTGAAAGTGAATACCTGCAACATTCTTCAGATTCCTTCTTTTGTGTTCAACAGAAGAAAAAGATTAGCCTCAAACAAAAAAACAACTTTGGCTCATTCTGAAAACATAGACCTATATACATTTCTGGAGATCACGAATTATGTAGGCAGAGCTACGTATTGCTGTATTTCATCTTTAAAAGGAATGACGCCGTTCCTTTTCACGCTTACCAGCTGACTGCTTACCTCCGTATGGTCGGCTTTTCCGTTGTTACCAGTTTGTCTGCTAGCTTGACATATATGTTGGCAGACCTGAGATGCAGAGCGGAGTTGACTGCGACAACAGGGTTTGATTCCGGTTAAGAACGGTTCCAGAAAGCGTAAGAAAAACAAAAGCTAAAAAATAAAATAGACAATAAACAACAGGGTGAGAATGTGGTAAAATCTGAAAATGTGGTTAAAATCAGGGGGCTTTTCTATTTCTGGATTAAAACACTGTGATTGGGTTTAGGGAAGGGAGTGGGCGGGTCAATCAGTGCGTTAGAACAGCAGGCGCGAATGACACTCCCAAGAGGTATTTGAGATCTGAGAAAGCGTACACAGGTGGATTTGCGAAAAACAAAAAACGCAAAAAATGTAGATCCTGCATCGTTTTTTTTCCTCTCTCCAGATATGTATACAGGGGTATGTTTTCTGAATGAGTCTGGGTTGCAAAAAAACACTATATTGCAGAAATATATTATTTAAGTTGTAAAGTATTTATACAACATGATTTATGTTTAATTTATGCTTGTGTTATTGCCATTTTCACTCTTAATATAGTAAAAAAAATTTACTCTGACTAAAATCACACTCAAAAACTTTCTAAAGTAGGTTAATGACAGTTCCCATTGTGGTAACATGATGAATCACCATGGAAAATGTGACAATGCAAAATAGCAGTTCTTACATTTGATTATTTGAAAATGGGTGTAAAATCTGCACGCCTTTGAGTTTCACCCAAGAAACTGGAAAGCCCCATTTCGCCGGGCACAAAGGCATGCACAGTAAACTGTTCCAGATGTTTCTGTAACCTCATGCCGTCTCCCCGTCTCTCCTCCACACTGGAATATAGGGAAATGGGTGGAGATTACAGTGGACAGGAGACAAGGGAGGAGAAGTTGGCTTTGAAATGGAGCAGAGAAGTTAACCCTTTGTATTAAAGAGAGGAGCCTAATCCCCCACCAACACAAACATCCCCACTCCCCACTCCTTTTGTTGTTGAATACAGATGCCTTTTGTCCCGGTGCCTCACAGGGCTGTTTCTAAATTACAGGAGATGTCCCAGAAGCCCCCAGGAAACCCAAACATGCTCACACAGAGCCCTCGGTGAAGCCCAGCTCTAGTTCAGATGTCAGGGAGTGATGGCAGCGCAGCTAGAAGAGAGAGAGAGTTTTAGAAGGTATGTTGGCAGTAAAGCAGTAGATGGACAAGATAAGTATAGAGTGTCTCTTTAGGTAGACTGTAGATTGAGCGGCTCTCATGGTACGTTGATGTTCATGGTGAGATGAGATTGAAGTTGAGATGGATGTAGAAAGTTGGGTAGATGAATAAAAAATGAAAATTCAGATGGATAGATATTTAAGAGCAGTGTGTACTGTATGATGGGACAGCAGAGCTGGGTTCAATAAAAAAGCGACTATTGTTTGCTGAATATGGTGTTCCTGAATCAACATTGTCTTAAAGTGGCAGAAAAACAGGGAGGGAAACGGCAGGGAGTTTCACAATAGGGTATATGCAGAGCTAGTGTTTCTTCCCATACAGCTAACAGTCCGGTGAACGGGTAATGTGACTTTTCAATTATATACAGTTTCTTTTACAGTATAGATGTTGTAATGTAATTAAACTATAATCAGTTAAATAGACGTCAGTGTTCAGTTAGTTATTGAAGCGTAAACCGAGATGAAAAGGCGTTTACTCGCAGGCATCAACGGGCAAGCCCAGAAACACCATTGGAAATATTGGAGTAAAATAAATTAAAATATTTTAAAGACATGGCATAGAAAAATATAATTTAATGCAGTGTTTCTTGTACATTCTGAGACCCACTTTATAGCGTGTATCTTTTAGGCGGTGAAGATTGTTGATTTTTAAAGAAAACAGACCTTAAACATGCTGATTTTGTAACGGAATACAGTTCACTGGAAGCGTTTGACCAAGGTTACTGACAAATTAAAAGTCTTTCTGCATGCGTCTGCATATACCCTATTGTTTTTAAGGACTATTAGCCATGGAAATGAATCAGATTTAACAGTAAATAAATATATGTGTAAGTATAAGTATACGTATATGTGACACAGTTTTAGAGTAAATGGTGCAGTTTTATACAGTAATAACTGCCGTATGGATTCAGACTTAACTGAAAATTAAAATATAATAAAAAATAAAAGCAAATTAAAGGAACTAAATTACTACAACTTCCAAATGAAGCTGTAAAATGTATTTTTTAAAAGTTGAACGAGAACATTTATTAAAACAGTAATAGTATTTTATTGAAATAAAACAACAATACTGCTTCAAGCCATATAGGAATGTCTGATTTTTGAGCAAACTATTATTATTTTATTTCATTTCCAATCATATTTTTAAAAAGTTGTTTGTAATTTATTAGACTGAATAATAGAAAATAAAAAGATCATTCAAATTTCATGAAAATGTATTGGAAGATAAAAACACAGTGCATCCTGGATTTTACGGTGTTTTATTGGTTAGTTTTAGGACTTACCACATTCTTATCAATCTTTCATTTGTAAATGATTGCTTATTTGAAAATTAAATATTTACACAAATGTCAACCGGTTACTAACGCATAATATTGATTCAGGAACGCTTATTTCTTGGTTAAATGATATCTCTCGTGATGCTTGACAAATAGACTGTGTTACGTGATCAGCATCCTTGTTGAATCAGATTTGAGAGATAAGTTTTCCATGTTGTATGCCAAGTTTAGGTTTAGAAACAAGGGTTAAGGGCTTCTACGTCATACCGTTTACCCATTTTCCCCCTCAGGATACATTATAAGCAGGGTTAGGTTTGATGTAGAAATTTTTGACCAAAAATGTTGCTCCAGAATCTACACAAACTTGTAAAACGCAGCATGACTGAGTACATTCCGCAGTTTAAAATAAAGCTAAATGCATTCCCATCATTTTTGGCTTTCACAATGTAAACCAAGCATTTGAACCCAAGAGAGGAACGGAAACAAATGGCTTTCAGCTGGAGTTGAGGTTGCAGGAGCTTTAAAGCTTCCCAAACTCTCTATTGTTATGAGGTCTTATCTTTTTCCCCCTTTCCAACAAAACATTTACATCAATTGTATCCCTGTTTTATAAGTGGAAAAATTGCATCACATGCCAAAAAAACATCTTAAGCCTGTTGGTGAGTTTAGCCTGGCTGGTAAATTTTAGGTCCTCCATTCAAAGAGAACATCCTTAAACTTAGATTTATGTGCCAAATTAAATCGCTTATCAGAAGTTGATAAGATCAACTTCCCACCACTTTTTATGTAGCGTTTTTTGCTTGATGGATTTTATTGGTCAGATTCTTCCTGTTGTGTGAGCGGTTTAGTGAGTAAAGCCGTGCTGAAAAGGTCAGAGTGAAAAGTGCCTCATTCCTGTTCTCTAATGAGTGGATCAGGTGTCTCGTTTTAGTACAGAGAGAGGGACGCCAGAGTGTCCTCGCTGGAGTATAGAGCTCTGTTATGGTAAAAACTGTGGTGCAATTTCATGAGTCACCTGTTGGCATCACACTTAAATGTGTGTAGGTGCATCCGAGGTCAGTTGGATGCAGTTTTTTAGAACCGCCCGCTGGGAGGTTCAACACATTACAGCATTCTGAGAATGTTTCAAATGCATTTCATGAAGGTTAGAAGTTCATTTTGGCAGCAGATGCAGGTCCTTGGCTGTCTTTCTGTCTTCGAATGGCAGTGTGCTTGGCATGGCCGGTGTGTGTCAGTGGTGCTTGTGCCAATAAGCCATTCTTTTGTGAGTGTAGTGTTTAATATCCAAGCGCCGGTCGCCATTTTACTGGCCTGTGGTCTGAAGAAAACATGACTTTTATTATATTATATTTTACCCTTAAATGTTACCCTGTTAAGTTTTGTTGTTGCATGTTTTTAAGTAAATGAAATGTGCCCTTTAATGTGTAGCTCTTACTTTGATTCTTCCTGTATTTTGACCAAGTTTAATAGTTGATTTCCAACAGAGATGAAAAGAATCTTTGACTTTGTCCGTATGAAAATAAATCTTGAAAATGAGTTTGTTGACTTCCCTTGATTTTTTTCCCCCCTTCTGCAATGCCCAGCAATTACTGCACATAATCACACACATTCTCCACAGTCCGTTCCCTGAGAGTCTCAGGTTTAACTTCAGATCACATTCAGATCTGTATTTTTTTTTATTCAGGTCTTTTGGTCATGTTTTTAAAGCTGTTGATTCAACTTGTTCAGGAATCAATGGTGGAATAAACTTTCAGATTTTCAGCTTTGCAATCTAAAATTAAGATAATTGAATTGCACTTACATTTTTTTTAACTGTTCTGTATTTAGACTCTAGACTAAAGATCAATCGTAGAGCTGAGCGATTATTGGAAAAGTAATCTAAATCGACATTCAGAACCTATAATCGATCTAATTTTTCCACGTCAATTTTGTTTTGACCCCTCTCTGTTAAGGCTGATTTATACTTCTGCATCAAACACACATAGTCCAGCGCAGCCTTCGCACGATTTCGGTCTACACATTGCATGTTTGCACTACATAGTGACGATGATTGGAAGCTGCGCCAGAGATGCTTTGAGATGGCATATTTTCTATTACAATAAAATTATTTAAATTCAAATATTTGTTTAAAATGTTATTTACAGGATATACAAGAGTTGTTTTATTTAGAGGAGATGCTGCTTATTTTCTAATTTTAACAATATTTTCTACACTGAAAATAATTTGTTTCCAAAAGTGCAAGTTATTCATTTTCACTTTTTTATATAAAATAAAGGGACTGTTGGTTTTAGGCAGTGTGTGTTTTAGTTTCAGTTGTTCAACATTGATGTCAAATAAATAATGATAGATAGTAGATAGTGTGTGTTTCCTTCAATTATTTTAAAATCATGTAATGCATGTAAAGAAAAATCTCACCTGTAATATGTGAGCTTATTTTACGCACAAATCTTGTCAGTGAACTCTAAGGGCAAAAAAAATAATAAAATAAACAAATAAATAAAATCATTGTTCATTAATTGTAATCGAGTTAAAATGTTCAATTAATCGAGATTTTAATTTTAAGCAAATCGTCCAGCCCTAACCAATCGTCAAAACATTTTATGCAATATATTTTCATAGGTATAAATGTACAGGTATTTTTATGAGCTCATGAAATTATGGTTATACATTTAACAATATTTTTTCACAACACAGGTCCACTTAAAACATAAAACTTGAAATAAAACATACAGTTGAAGTCAGAATTATTAACCCCCCTTTGATTTATTATTTTATTTTATTTATTTATGTAATTTTTATATATTTCCCAAAAGATGTTAAACAGAACAGGAAAATTTTTACAGTATGTCAGAATTTTTTTTTTCTGCTGGAGAAAGTCTTATTTGTTTTATTTTGGCTAAAATAAAAGCAGTTTTTAATTTTTTAAAAACCATTTTAAGGTCAAAATTATTTGCCCCTTCTACAGAACAAACCATCATTATACAATAACTTGCCTAATTACTCTATTCTGTCTAGTTAACCTAATCAACCTAGTTAAGCCGTTAAATGTCACTTTTAGCTGTATAGAAGAGTCTTGAAAAATATCTAGTCAAATATTGTTTGCTGTCATCATGGCAAAGATAAAATAAATCAGTTATTAGAGATGAGTTATTAAAACTATTATGTTTAGAAATGTGTTAAAAAAATCTTCTTTTCATTAAACAGAAATTAGGGGAAAAATAAACAAGGGGCTAATAATTTAACTATATAAAAAGGTGTACCTAAAGTATGCGCATTAGCTTATACTATAAACATATTTTCTCTTTAAAAAGGTTTTATGCTCAGCAAGGATGCATTCATGTGATTTATTACAGTAAAATGTTTTGTGATTTGTTATTGTTATAACTGTAATTATTTTAAAACAATTTTAAGTACATATTAATGTTTTCTATTTTAATATATTTAAAAATGTTATTCAGCGATGTGACACCAGTTTTCAGCAGCCCTTACTACAGTCAGTGGCGAATTTAGGCCTGGGCAATGTGGGCGATAGTGCAGGTTGTGGTTTGTAAAGTAAATGTAAAAAAACAAAACAAATGCAGTATGAGTAAGAATGAGAGAAAGTTTGGGTCAGAAATTATGTGCAAGGTGAATTTTCCAGCAAACGAATGTGACTTGTTTTCATAATAAACATTTAAACATAACTCATGCAGAAACAAGCATGTTATTCCAATTAACCACCTGCACTGCTCTTGTTTTCTCCCATTTCGAATTACTTTTACTTTCTCTTTTGAATCCTCCTCTGAATACCAGCGTTTGCTCAATAACAAAGTGTTAATCTGTTAGTCACGCTCTTCTGCTGGAAAATTCACCCTATCGTTTCTGACCCAAACTTTTTCTCATTCTCATTCATACTGCATTTGTTTTTTTCATTTACTAACCATAACTTACACTATTCTTATGTACTTCACAATGCATCTACTGTAGGAAGGGATGTCCAGATCAGCTCACATGATCTGAAATCGAGCCTATCATGTGGTTTCAAACTCGATCAAAATTGGACATTACCTCCCGATCAGTCAGAATTATTAGCCCCCCTTTGATTTATTGTTTCTTTTTTTATTTATTTATTTATATGTTTCACAGAGCAAGCACATTTTCACAGTATGTCTGATAATATTTTTTCTACTGGAGAAAGTCTTATTTGTTTTATTTTGGCTAGAATAAAAGCAGGTTTTAATTTTTTATAAATCATTTTAAGGTCAAAATTATTAGCCCCTTTAAGCTATACTTTTTTTGATAGTCTACAGAACAAACCATCATTATACAAGGTGAATTCAATTTTAAAAAGGAAGATCCTGGATCTGTTTCTTCGCTCTTCTTTATTCTTTTTTATGTGTTATAGAAGTATCGGATCGGGTTTCGGTATCGGTAGATACTCAAAACCAAATGACTTGGACTCAAGGGCAAAAAAACCTGATCAGGACATCCCTACATCTAAGCCCTCATCTGACCAACTGTTTAAGCTTTCTCTAACCAGGCTCATGAAATCTGTAAGTCACATTTGTCTGCTGGATAATTCGCCCTGCACAATTCTGAATCAAATTTCTCTCATTCTCTGTCATAATGCATTTGTTTTTTCTATTTATTAACCACAACTTACACTATAATTGTTTACTTCATAATGCATCTAAGCCCTCATCTGACCAACCGTTTAACCTTTCTCTAACCAGGGCCCTGATGAGGAGGGGCCGCGGAGTGGGAAAGTGTTGAGATAACTGGCTTGTATGTAAATGAAGCAGCTGCAAGTAGTATGATAAAGCAGAATATCTGAACACGGGCTGCCTTCAGCATGTCGTTTTGGGCATTCTTTGTACTTGTGCATTATTTTGATGCACTGAATGCTCAAGTTTTCAAGTTCCTTAAGCTGTCTTTGAACATCAGCTGACTTGTTTTGTCTTCAGCTCTGCTGCTCTGGTCTGTTATCACCTAGCTCTGAGTTGTGCACGTAACCATCCCTCTCTTTTTTCTCTCGTGTTTTATGTCTTCCTTTGGGGGAGGGGGAAGAGGAGTTGACCAATTGCTAGCAGCTGTTACTCGTTTCACAATAGGGCCGCCTCTCCAGCTCTCCCTCAGTGTGTGTGTGAGTGTGTGTGTGAGTGTTGTTAAAGTAGGCAAACTGCTGCTCGAATTCACCTCTCATCGCTTGACAGGAGTTTCTCTTCAGGTACGATACTTTTTCTGACTCCTTTGACTGTTCTTTTGTTCTTTCGTTCACATGATCTTTCAGTTTTTCTTGAGTTAAAAGGGCTGCTGCGAGCCAGCTGTCTTTGAATGTACGAGATGGTGACAGTTACTTTGTGGGATGTAGTGTGGGGCTGGGTTTTTTTTTCCTTGCTTTTCTTGAGTTTTAATGCATCTTGGAAGATTTTATTTCTTTAATTAGTACTATTTTTTTAAGATCAGTTTTCTGCATATCCTATAGAGGAGATTGACTTATAGGGTTTATATTCTCCAGATGGACCCGGAGCAAAAGTTTCTGGGCCATTTCTACATTCTTAAACATCGATTCTCGCAAATAGCATTCCTGTCATTCCACATATGACAGAAGAACAATAGCGAGAATTCTGAAGACCCAAAAACTGCATAATGTGAGCCTTTGTTCTTCTGAATTCAGCTTTATTCTCCAGTTTGAAAGAGCCAGTTAAGAATTAAACTGAAAAAAAATCCTGCCATTTCTGTATTCTGACCACCTGTGGTGGAAAGAGTACTGAAAAATCATACTTAAGTAAAAGCACCATTACTTGCCTAAAAATGTAGTGCAAGTAGAGTAAAAGTATCTGTTGTAAATATTACCTTAAGTTTGAGTAATACGTTGACCTTTCAAAAGTACTCAAGAGTAGTGAGTAGGGAGTATTACGCTGTAAAAAAAAAAGCTGAAGCATTTACATGTAATTTGCGTATGTGTGTAAACGTAACATTCTGTAGTGCATTGAGTTATTGCCCAGCAGGCACACAACATCGTAAGATGTTAATATTAGGCTAGATTTAGGTTGTGATGCCAGATGACGAAAATTCAGTGTCTAGCCAGCATTTAAGTGTTATTTGGATGTACAGTAGCGACATGTTGATATTTTGTTGATTTTAGGTTGTGTTAAAAAGCGACCAAAATCAAACGTCGAGTCAACATCTTAAACCAACTTCATATTGATGTCCAATACAGACATTTATTTTTCAGATATGGCAACCAAAATACAACATCTGATAGAAGTCATACTATATAGTGGTAACGTCCACACAACGTCAACTGTAATCTTATTCGTTGTTGATATTTGGTTTATTTAAGGTTGGGTTTAGGTTGGACTGACTGAGTTCTGATGTCAACCCGATTTTCATTTTCAAACAAAATGCGATGTCCCAATGACATTGGGGTACAAGTTCAATCTGACGTTATGTTGGCATTTTGAGCCTGCTGGGTGACTTCATACAGTAAACATTTGGCATTTTTTCATCAGCGACATGCATTTAAACATTCTTTAGATCAATGTGTGTAAAGG